GGGAGGGGCCGTAAGGGGCGTAAGGGGCCGCGCGAGGGGCCGTAAGGGACGGCGCGAGGGGCCGTAAGGGGCGGCACGAGGGGCCGTAAGGGCGGCGCGACAGGCGCGACGGGCCGTAAGGGCGGCACGAAGGGCCGTAAGGGCGGCGCGAAGGGCCGTAGGGGTGGCGCGACGAGCCGGGAGAGGGCCGCTAAGGGCGACGCGACGGGGCCGTGAGGGGCCTAGCGAGGGCGCGACGGTAGGGAGAGCACACAGGGCGCGACTCGGGCCGGAGCGAAGCGCGCTCCGGGCAGGAAAAAAAAAAATTTAGTGGTGGTGGGCCCTAGGAATCGTTCCCACTAGGGAACCTGCTCGATACCATGAGAAGAAACGAGGAATGGAATGACTAAGGGAAAGTTGGGTACAAAATGCAAACCCTAGGAAAACTGTACCCCATATGTGCTACCCCACTATAGCCTACAGTAGCTATGTCATATAAATCTGACAATCCTTCGCCGCCGCTGCGTTCAGGCTCGGACAGGAAGGCGTCGAACGCCGAGTAGCCAGGGGGGAGGAGAAGCTGCAGAACCCCCTGTCGCGGAACACCAACAGCAGGCGGGTCAGGAGGGGACGGAGGAACGGGAGGAATAGGAGGCGCCGGGGGAGCGGGAGGGGTAGGAGGCGTAGGAGGAGTGGGAGGAACGGGAGGCACTACTGGTTGTGATGGAGGGACGGGCGCAGGCCGCGTCTGCCATTGAGAGTAGTCACGGGTGTCTCTGCGGGTATTTTCTCTAGCAGCAGGTTGGCGGCGGAACAAGAAATGCGTGCCTGGAAGGCCCGCCATGGCCACGGCAGGCCAAACGAACGAAGAAAACTGAACCAAAAGTTGAGAATGAGGGCCGTATGAAGCCCTCGCCCGAGACCCCTTCAGTTTCGCGGCCCGGCCTCCTCTGCGGGGAAAGTGTGGCCACAGTCAAGATTCCCCGCAGAGGAGCTGAGCTGGGCAGCTCTTTGCCTCGGTGGCAGGGAATCTTGCTGTTGATGGGCACGTCGTGGCTGAACCACGACGTGCCCACGATCGCATGCAACCCTGATTGGGCCGCTGTGATGCGAAGTACGTGTGCGCTGGCATGGGCCAGGTTTACGTTCGATAAACCTGGCCTGGCCAACAAGGCGTGGAAGGCGTGATGCCACGCCTTGTTGGCCGTTTCACGCGCAAAGCATGCACAGAGTCGAACGTTCTCGACTCAGGTGAATCCGCCTTTGAGAATGCTTCGATTTGGTATATTTAAAAACAAAATTCATTTTTGACATAACATAAACGCCGGCGCTTATAATTTTACTATATTATAAGCCCACCCCCTAAAAAAAACATGTTTTATTAGTGGCCCCCATGTGGGTATATCCGGGGTATGACGGTACGCCAAGTCACAAATAAGCCGATTCGTTTTTTTGTGTTTTAATAATAAAACACGCGCTTATGTCTATATCAGGGTCAGGGCACTGACTTTTTCCTGCTGCACCACCTGCGCGGACGTGACGACAACAACAGGTAGGGAAGGATATCTATTGCCCCATGCCCAGCCCACATGAATCGTGCCTGTGCACCGCACACGACACGAGCTAAGGACGCGGCACCTGTTTTCATTTTGCCAGGATCGATCGTGGGAGGGGATCGATGTGCCGCTTGTACAGTGTATTGGCGACATCGCCAATGCCTGGTATCCGTTTGTCGCTGAACGTCGAGAATGTACAGTAAACGGGTACCCAAATTGGTGGCACCTGCAGCTCGCACGATCGATGTGCCGTGGTGCATGTGTTAGGGTTGGCGGGAGAGCATATTCTTGAAATTTAGTAAACGATTAGGAAGGGTAAATAGCAAGTAGAGAGAAAGAAAACACCTAGAAGAAAGAGTTAAGAGTGAAGTAAGACAAATTTGATAAGATAAAGAAACTATTTAAGAAGAGATTGAGTAAGAACGTGAAGGCTTTAAATAAGAAGGTTAAAGATAAAAATAACAAACTTGAAAAGAAGATGATAAAAACATTAAAAGGAAAGAACAATAGATTGAAAGAAAGATATTGAATGGGCGATTGATGAAAAGGTAAAGGAACAAACTTGATAATGACAACTAAGATTTGAGAAGAAAGGAGACTTGATAAGAATGAAGGAGCTTTAAATAGGGAAGCTTGAATTGAGAAGCTTGACAAGAGTGAAAAGAGGAGGTGACTTACCTTAAAGAGTCTTACTTGTCATTTTGAAGGAGCTTTGTAACTTGAAGAAGCCAAGCTTGAATTGTGAATCTTGATTGTTGGAAGGAGAGTGAGATCCAAGCTTGATTGTTGAGTAGTAGATCTTGATTGTTGAGTGGAGAAGCACCTCCAAGCTTGAGTGTTGAGGTGTAGATCTTGTTTGTTGTGTAGAGAAGAACCTCCAAGCTTGAGTGTTGAAGGTGAAGCTTGAGTCTTGATTAGAAGAAAGTCAAAGGTTGATGTTGAGGCCTTAAAACTTAAAATGCACTAGTCCAAAGGAGGTACGTGATGGACTTGAAGAGCAACCATTGATAACAATCTAGTTGAAAGACTATGAAGCATAAGCTCCTCTAGAGTTGGAGAACATGGCTATGAGCTTGGGTTGGGAGAGGTTGGTGATGAATGGAGCCTTAGGAGTTGGGCATGAGGAGGAGGACTTTGAAGTGGCCTTGAGAGAGCTTGGAGTATAACTTGTGGAGAGCTTGGGTAAAAACTTGCTTGAAAAGTATGAGTGAAGAATGGGGTGGACCCTTTGTTTTGTATTTGGTGGAACTTGAGGTTGGATGAAGGAGAGGAGGAGATGAATGATTGTGATTGGTTAAGTTGGATAAGGTGGGGGTGATGAATGTGGCCTTGAAGTGAAGGCTTGGTGAGTGGGATGAATGTGGCCTTGAATTTAAGGCTTGGTGAGTGGAATGAATGTGGCCTTGAAATTAAGGCTTGGTGATTGGAATGAATGGGGCTTTGATTTAAGGCTTGGTAGGGAATCTTTGGATTGATTGGTGGAGTTTGGGATGAGAAGGTTGAGGAGGATTGGAGAAGATATGAGGTGGAGGATTGAAGGATTTATATTGGGTGAAAATGGAAGTGTGCCTTGCTAACTGGAGATAAGGATGATGAAGTGGCGAATGGGTAATGTTGGTAGATGCCCTTTGCAGATTCGAATTTTGGCCGACGGGAAAACTGTGGCGAAAATTTTCGCCACGTGAAATTTTTCCCGCCACCCTGGTGCCACGCGAGCAGCAGCAGCAGTTCAGTCCAACACATATCTCGCCACAGGTGACAGCCTCGATCGATCGGCGTCACCCACGGTCGCAGGCCAAAAATTCTTGAGTCGCTGCGAATGGAATTGCTGGACGACCATCCACGCTCTGCCCTGATTGGCTGCGCGTTTAAGTGTAATGGCAGCTCCAACCTGCCCGAGCCTGCAATTTCGATCCTGGCACCTATAGCTCGATGTGTCTACCCCACTGCAAATTTGCAGGCCCTGTTCGACAGGCTAACACTCTGCAAAGTGTTAGTGTTAGGTTAGTGTTAAGAGGAGGGTTCACCGCACCTTCTCCGAGCTGATCGACCGCTGAAGCTTCGTGAGTAGGGATCGGAAGGAGCGGGGCCCACTAGGCGAAGCTGCCCGCCCCCTTCAACCTGCCTTTAGGCGGGCACAGTAGAAAAGTTTGGGCCGCTTTCCAAAGGGGTCTGGGTAACATCGCCGGGAAAAAAAAGGCCTTCTCCACAAATCGCTCGCCTCACAAGGATTTTTCCGCCCAAACGGGTTCACAAGGACCTATTTTAGGGTCCAGGGAGTGGGTGTTCCCCCCACTGCAAACACTTGGCGAGCCCTTTGGCAAACCCCACTTTTGGGGGGCGAGGGTTAGGCTAGGCGAGGGCTAGACCTTTGCCTGTGCGGGAAGGCTCGCGGTTCTTTCTGAGAGGGCGAAGGGGTCAATTATCGGGTGCGTTCGACAGGCTAACACTCTGCCAACAGGTTAGCGGGGGTTAAAGCCCCATTCGCGTATTTTACGGGCTGACCGTGGGAAAATATGTGAAAACGAAAGAGCTGCGAGGATTCCGCGGCCGTCGGTGTTAGCCTGTCGAACAGGGCCGCAGTGTGGGCACATCGGTGTGCCGATCGATATGCCAGGATCGATGTGAGGCCACGATCCTTGTAAAATGAAAACAGGTGCCGCGTCCTAATGCTCCAATGGGTCATCTGGCTCGGGTCGGGTTCCGTGCTCTGCGGCGATGCACACGTTATACAGTGTACAGAATATCAAATTCTCCTGAATTGGGAAAAGTTTTCGCATTCACCTTTTTTTTTCCTGCGGGAACTTGGCGCAAGGTTTACAGAACCACGACCACCTGAAGCTTTCCACTCGCCCTTGTTGCCTGGCTACAGTTCTTCTACCCTCGACAAACATCATCGCCAGCTTTCCTGCCAGGTACCCCGCCAAGTGCGTCATTGTGAATGTCCCACCTGATTTCTCGCACCGCACAAATTATGGAAGACACGCCACGCGACTGGACAATATCAAGTCAGAACGTTTCAAAACGATATAAAAACTAACGACACCGAACTGAACAGATTCGTATGCTAAAATTCGCTCGTCTGTTGGCCACACCTTCCTGCCTTCGTTTCCAAGCATACGTGTGTACACACAGCTCGGTCCCTCATTTCACCAAATCAAGCATTCACCTGTGTCTCTTCTCTCATGAACAAGTCAGCAATCGTCATCAAAGCCTAAATGAAAGAGTTTGTTCGGAACCACCATAGTCAAGATATCCGCCTCCTGCTTAGTCCCAAATCCAAGCTCCAGATTCATTCTTGGCGAATTCAGAGACGGTGTTACTAACACGTTAGTATTTTTCGTGTTTGGCTTTCCGGGCTAGCTCCGTTCGTCCACGTGCAAACAGCATTCGTCTATCTTGAAGTTTGGTTTCTGCCCGAGAAGACTTGTTTTAGAGTTTATCGGCGTTGAGTTTGAGTTCGCAATGGCGCTCCAACAATTCCTTGGCTTGTCGTTTCTTTTTCTGCTCGTCACCGCATGCTTCGGTGAGTGACAAACGCAATGGTCGCGATTTGATTGACGTGTCCTGCAGTCAATTTCAGCACCGAAATATCACGGACCAATCTCAGCAAGATGCATCATTTCTCATCCGTTCCTTTTCTTCATTGAACTTCTGTATCTCAAAAACTTTATTCCATGTGAACTTTCCTTCGATATGCTGCGCAGCGACGCTACAGACGGAATCGCCCGTGAAGGACGACGCAAAGGCTCCCAGCAGTGCGCCCTTGACTGACTTCACATCCAACACGGAGCCCATTGGCTCGGAGAAACGGAAACCCACCGGCGCCGCGCCGTGCCCGTTGCCAGATGAGGAGAAGTCTCTGGCTCTCGGAAATTTGACGGGTGAGAGGTCAAGTAATGGAGACCTTCCGCGAATCCAACGGAAAGAGTGTTGCGAATCTAACGGCGGGACTTTCGCGAGTCTCGCCAAGACTGGACGTTCCTTCCAAATCACGAGTGCTGACAAAGCTTCCCACCGCCGCTTGTAAAGGCCCACTTCTAGGCTTCATGATACGCGATACGCAGCCCCTGCTTTCCTTCCCTCCTCTCTGGCTCTCTACTCCTTACTTAACACCTCTCCTCCCCCCATACTCTTGAGGCGCCTCAAATGCCCTCCTCTCTGGCTCTCTACTCCTTACTTAGCACCTCTCCCCCCCCCCACTTCTCCTTCCCTCCTCTTCGCTCTCCTCTCCTCTCCTCTCTCCCCCGCGTTGCTCCGTCTCTCCCATCCCCTTTTCCGCGCAGCGATTCTCGCCGCGCGGCTGAACGGATCCGAAGTGGTTGGGTCGACGGGCGATGTCAACGCCACTGGTCGAATCTGCCTCGCCGTCTTCGAGTAAGCCACTGCCGCCAGTACCCCACATTTGTTCGTGTGACGCCTAAACTTTAGGTTGAGCCTTCACTCCAGAAAGGAGACCTTCGTGTCGTTACTGCTCATAATGTCGTTTTTCGCTTGCACTCCTCAATGCGTTCCCCTCGTTTTTCGCCCATCTCCTCCAATTTTTCTCCCGTTGCGATCCTCACCCGATTCATCCCTTTGTCCGCTTGCTTCCGCGAACCCTGACTGAATCCGTCAGGTTTGACGGGGAATTTAATGTCTTCTACCATGCCCTCGTTTCCACCTCCAAACCGGGCGCGCCGACGTCCGCCTTCGTCGCGCTAGGCACGGCGGGAAAGGCGGGACCCATTGTCCTCAAGATTGCCGGAGCCAAAGCCAAGTGGACGAATAAAACTCGTCTGCCGCCTCCCTTTCTTTTGATCGACAAAACGAACAATCCACCCCCGCCTATGTACACCTATGCCTTTAAGGGGACGTGGCTTAACGCGAGTAGGATACCGAACGCGTCGATTGGGAAGTCCGTTAAGAGCGTGGTGAATCTTTTGAAATCGAAGACGAACAGCTACTATGGGGGATTCTCGACGGCGTCTTTCACGGCGGGAGCAGCTAGGGGGCAGTTTAAGAGCGAGCCGCTCCCACTAGTAGGTGAGACGCCTTTTGCTCTCTATGTTTTCAAAACATGTTTAAGAAGTTCTTACCCCACTATCTCCGCAGCACGATGTACGTACCCACGTTGCTCCTATGCGGCTTGCTCTCCTTCTCGCTCTCGCACCTTCCATCTCTCACTATCTCTCCCACGTTCGTTCAGGGGTGATGGAGGCGCAACTCCGTGCCTTCAATCTTCACGAGATTATGGAACCTGACTTCAAGGCAAAAGGCTGCGTCTCCCTCGCCGTCTTCCGGTAAGTTCCTAAATAAAGTGAAATTTTCTCGCCTCCCCTCCATTCCCGAACCCCTTCTCGTCTGTCAACCTACTGTCACCTCCACTCTCTCACACTACCCTCCCTTCTCTCACGCTCTCACTCCTCTCCCCACTCTCTTCACTCTCTCACTGTCCTCTCCCTTTTCCTCTCACACTCTCGCTCACACACCTCTCCCTTCTCTTTCACTCTCACATTCCCCTCCATTCTCCCCCACCCTCTCACACTCCCCTCCCTTTCCCTCAACTTCACACATTCCTCTCCCTCTCCTCCCCTCAATCTCCCACTCTCTCATCCTTCCCTCACTTTCTCAACCCCTCTCCCCCCATCACTCTCCCATCGTCTCCTCCTCCCCTCACTAGGCTCCACTCCCTCCTCCCCTCACCATATACCCCTTAGCCCCTCCTCGCCCCTCCTTGCCACCCCTCAGCAACGCCACAACCAACGACTACGACATTCGTTACAAAGTTGCTGTGATCCTAACCAATCCTGGCAAGCCCAGTGGCGTCACGATTGATCATTACTATAGAAAAGCCCCAGAATTTGGTCTGGTCCCTAGCAAAGCCACGTGGACCAAACGCACGCTCGCCAACGGGGGTGGTGACCGCTACGAAACCACCGGCACATTGTTTGGCGCCAGTACTTTGATTGCGGAAGATCGGCGAACGACGTACAAGCAGATTCTGGATGTTATGGTGCCTGATCCAGACTACTTCGTTGCTACTATCTGCACCGAAAAGCTCATCCTTGGTGTAGTGAAAGGCTATATGTTTAATAGTACGCTGCCTGCAGGGAATGCTATGTGCAACGTTGAGTTCGAGTGAACAAGAAAAAATCAGAACATTCAAACATGACGTTCCTTTACTATCAAGTCTAGAAGCTGTTTGTTCTGCGTACTCTCCATATGTGTGGTGCCTTGAGAAGGAGTCAATGTGACCTAGTTTGTATCTTTGCTGTTTTGTATTTCCCTCCCAGGTCCATGCCTCCCTAACATACTCTGGCATAGGCAACAGCATCACATCACCTTTGCTGCCACCTAATGAGCCACGCCCCACTAGCCACCTACTCCACCCAACCAACAGCGTCCCACCACCAGCATCAACAAATTCCCCCACCCATTGAATGCCCATCGTTTTCAGCAAACCAACGTACGGTATGAAATCATCATGGTTTAGATCCTTAACTTCAGCACACAACTTCATTCCCGCTTTAAGCACGCCCACCCAGAAGAAGTAGCTAAATGTGCCATTGTCATTCTAATTGCCAACACTAGAGGGCTCACCAGAACCAGTACCCACTCTCCATCCTCCTCCTGGTCTTCCCTCCTCCTCCTGGTCTCCAGTACCCCCTCTCCCTCCTCCTGGTCTCCCCCACGTCGTGCCAGAGTGAACCAGAGAATGAATCAGGGGCGACCAACCAACGGAACAAATGATGGAACAAATGGTAAACTAAAGGGTGAACCAGGAGAGGGTGAACCAGGGGGGGGTGAACCAGAAGGTGAACCAGAGGGTGAACCAGAGGGTGAACCTGAGGGTGAACCAGAGGGTGAACCGGAGGGTGAACCAGGGGAGGGTGAACCAGAAGGTGAACCGGAGGGCGAACCAGAGAATGAACCAGAGGGAGAGGGCGCGCCAGAGGGCAAACCAGAGGGTGAACTAGAGAATGAACCTGAGGGTGAACCATAGAATGAACCTGAGGGTGAACCAGAGAACGAACCTGAGGGTGAACCAGAGAACGAACCTGAGGGTGAACCAGAGAACGAATCAAAGGGTGAACGAGAGGGAGAGTACCAGGGCTCACGAGAGGGTAAACCATAGGGTGAACTAGAGAGTGAACCAGACGGCGAACCAGAGAATGAATAAGAGGGCGCACCAGAGGGTGAACCAGAAAATGATCCAGAGGGTGAACTTGAAGGTGAACCAGAGGGTGAATAAGAGGGCGCACCAGAGGGCGCACCAGAGGGTGAACCTGAGGGTGCGCCCCCTTTTCCTCCCTTCCCTCCCTTCCCTCCCTTTCCTCCCTTGCCGCCCTTTGCTGGTTTTCCGCCAGGGGGTGCACCGGAGGGTGAACCTGAAGGTGAACCAGAGGGTGAAGCAGGAGGTGAACCCGAAGGTGAGCCGGAGGGTGAACCCGAAGGTGAACCGGAGGGTGAACCAGAGGGTGCGCCCCCTTTTCCTCCATTCGCTCCCTTGCCGCCCTTTGCAGGTTTCCCGCCAGAGGGTGCGCCGGAGGGTGAACCAGAAGGCGAACCAGAGGGTGAACCGGAGGGTGAACCGGAGGGTGAACCGAAGGGTGAACCGGAGGGTGAACCAGAGGGTGCGCCCCCTGTTTCTCCCTTCCCACCCTTCCCTCCCTTGCCACCCTTTCCGGGCTTCCCGACAGAGGGCGCACCAGAGGGTGCGCCAGAGGGCGCACCAGAGGGTGCGCCAGGGGGTGCGCCAGAGGGTGCGCCAGGGGGTGCGCCAGAGGGTGCGCCTCCTTTTCCCCCCTTCCCTCCCTTCACTCCCCCACCCTTACCACCCTTTCCGCTCTTTCCGCCCGGAGCTTTCTGTGGTGCGCTGGATGGCGCGCCATTTCCGCCCGCGGGAGTGCCCTGCTGCTCTCCACCCGCGGGCGAACCCTGCTGCTCTCCGCTTCCCGAGGAGCCCTGCTGCGTTCCGTCGCCCTGGACGGATTCCGTCGGCGCGGTGACGATTCCCGTTTGCGTTGACGAAGGGGAGGGGGACTTGAGGAGGGAGAGGGCCCTGAGGGCAAGAATGCGCCGATGGGATTCGAGCCGCGAGTACGCTGCGCGGGGAAAGGAAAAAGGAAAACAGAAAATAAAAGACATTGATTAGTCCAGCAGACGACGGTCTGACTGGGTACAACCCGGTTGATTCGCTTTTACCAATCACGACACGGGCGCACAATAGACGGCATTGCTTGAGGGATCAAAGAGTGACCATGAAATCGCATTCTCAAAGTCGCACCACGGCATCGTTGCGGATGTTTGCGGGAGTGAGAAGGAGTCGTAGCAGCGTTTGCTGGACACTAGAGCAGTGAACGCCACAGCATAGTAGAATTCCAGAGATGCGAAGGGAATCCGATTTATCAGGTGTGAAACTGAAAAGACTCTTTTGACTGGCGTAACTTACCAGGCGAGACAGGCGCACACGTGAAGAAACTGCTTGCCGACAAGATCTAGCAGTGACGACGAGATCGCATTGTCCAACAGATTGCTGATCTCCCGTCGCATTCAGCAGTGAATATTTCCAAGCATTGTCGGTTGATTTTTTCTGAAGACCAAATCAATGAGCTAGGAAAGAATGCAACGCGTTTCAGAGACTTTCGGATCCGCGAAAAGCTGACATACGCGGAACTTACCAGGCGTGACATATGCTGACGTCAGAAGCAGCGCCAACAGAAGCAGCGGCGCGACCGCGCTTCGCCCAATGATCCACTTCATTGTGGATTCCGTCACTGCTGAGTCGCAAAAACTCGAAGGCCGTGTAAGCCTGCGAGGCGAACAGCTAGCGGTGACCAGACGCGAAAGGGAAAACGCACAAGCGGAAGCACAAGTAGGCAGTCTCTTTGTGTTGCTGAGGAAAACGCGAGCTGCTGCTTGTGACATATGATGGGTGATGAAGCGTTTTTATAGGGCATCGTCAGGGAAGGAAGGTGGCTGGCACAGAATGCTATTGGGCTCTTGATTTTTTCCCCACGATGAAGAACTGGCAAGCAGATTGTTGGTTCCGAAGCGCTTCGCAGCGGAGCGAAACGTTTGTGCGAAATGCAAAGATCTTTTCGCTGATACCGTACCTGACGAAAAGATTCACCTGAGCACAATTCGCGATATCTTCTGCCGATGGGTCACGGCGAGAAGTCAGTTGCCTGGACGTGTCGCATCGCAGGTCTGAATGCACATGACATGAGCCGCCAGGCACTTGTCAAAGTTCAATGACAAGAGATAAAGCCATGGTATTCTACAGTGCAGAGAGGAGTTATGAAAGATTATTATGGCCCATAATTGGTGTGTTTCTGAAAGATGTGAAGCATTCAAAGGCATCTCTGAAACAGCTTTGCAACATAACATAGATAACTTCAACGTGCTATCATTATTTTGTCGTCCAGACGCACAGATTTGTTTTGGTTGATTGACTATTCGTTGAAAGAATAGGCCATTTTTTACGATCCGTTAATTTCCTATTCTTTGCTGTCTTGAACCATGACCCAGAACCAGATGTATTTATCCCTCATCATGGGTTGAACTATGTGGGCAAGGTTATGTGCATATCAGTACTGTGGATTGAGTAACCTCCCTAATTTTAACAAATAGAGGATCATGCATTGGATGGACCAAAGTCGTAACATTGGTCAAAAGTCGCCGTTGAACTGTACGATTCTGCTGCCTCACCGCTCATATACAGTTCAGTGTTGGCAGCCTGTTGCGGTTGGTCCGTCAGTTGAAAACGCTTTGTAAAGCAACTCTCTGACCGTGAATGACCTTTCATCTACAGCTAGTTTGTACATTCCAGAAGCCCGTACAGTTGACTGTACGTATGTAGGACCCTCTTTTTGTCTAACGGTCAATGCAGCCATCATCATCAAGAGACATCGTAAGCACCCATGGATTCTGCCGAGCATCACTGTGCGTTTTTCCCGCTTCGCCGTTTCGCTTCTTGGGATTGGGAAGCCCGCGGCCATGACAGACCCGAGCCACGCCATCCTGCTCCACTGATTTTGCCGAGCATGTGATGTTTCACGCACGCTCGGCTGGGCCTATGGAGCAGCAGCAAGCCTAGCCAATCTCGATCGTATCTCTCCTCTCCCCTCTTCCTCCTCTCCCCCCTCCTCCGCGGACACGCTTCGGAGTCAGGCACCCCTCCTCCCCTCTTTACTCCCCTCTTTCTCCACCCGTGCCGTGCACATCGATCGATGCCCGTCCTCCCGTCCCGACCGAGTCTCGTGAACGAGCTCCTTTCCGTCCCGTCGTGACGTGTCTCGTCCCGAGTTCCGTCTGTCCCGACCTAGGTTCGACGACGTTCGAAGATAGCCAGCTACCTCTGCCTTACATCCCCCATCTTCTCCTCGTAGGTCGTCGGCGTCACGCTGTCTCTTAACATTTTCGAGCGACGGAGCTAGGGATCCTTCTGCGCATATGTATTTCCGTGTGTCTTTCCGAGCTAGCAGGTCTTCAATTTTCCACCTCGCGGTCAGCGGTTCGAGGAAAATAACTGCACTGTAGTAAACTTTGGAAAAACAGATAATGAACACACTTGCATATTAACTTTTCTTTTTCGCGACTAATTGACATTCATGCCGCGGTCACGGGAAACCGTTCATTTTTTGCTCCCGCCGGCAGACGATTCTGCCGGCCAGGACTCTCTACCAGAACCCTTGCCTGGCGGGCCGTCGCCGACGGCTAGCCGGCCGCCGTCCGGCCCCAGCAGCGCTACGCCGGTCGTTTCGCCACCGGTGGCCGCGTCGTCGCTACCGTCGGCGAGTTTCGCCGCTGTGCGACATCGCAGGGTGTCTATGGACCTTTCTAAGACTCCGTCGCCCATGCATGCGACGGGAGCCAGCCAGGTAAGGGGCGGCAGAAGAAGGAAACCCTAAAACAGCTTCAAAAGAAGCGTGGACTGGTAAGAACGGGGAGAGCGCCGTTAACGGGTGGAGAGCGGTATTAGCCGGTGGAGAATGGCGTACGCCGGTGGAGAGCAGCGGTTTTAGCCTGTGAGGAGCGGCATTAGTCCGTCAGCAGCGTCAAAACTGGGAACCCCTGCCTCTTTCTCCTCTTCGAGTCTCCGTTTCTTCAGCACTTTCCTTGTCCCGACCCTGGCTTCCTCTCCTGGAATCGAATCTCTACCATCTCTGCACCCTCTGTTCACCTCTCTCCTTGTCTGCCTCTCCTCTCTAGGCTCCCTTACTCGCGAGCGCGGAGGGTGCACGGCTCAAGAGCATGAACCGCACGACGGGCAACCGCAGCCGTGCAGTGCCGGTGCGAGGCAACGACCTCACCATCTCTGCGCCCTCGTCCCGACTGAAGCACGACCTGCGCCACGTGCACTTTGACTCCAAGGTGCGTTGACTTCACTTGACTAGACTTGACTTGACTAGACTTGAACGTGCATGCATTCATCCTCAGATGCATTTTGACTTGACCTACGTCACGTGCACTTCAACTCCGCTTTCTAACTCCCGTTTACCCTGGCTCCCCCTTCCCCCCTCCTCTGCCTCCACCCAATCGCATCCTCGTTACAAGCAGCCTGTTCTGGGTGCGCTGCGAACCAAGCTCGAGTCAGCAAAAGACAAAATGGACGCAGAGCTCCGCTGCTTCTGTCTCGACATCTTCCATCCGCTCTCCCCCCTCGCCCTCCTCCCCTCACACTCGCCTCTCCTCCTCCTCCCCGCTCACTCGCCCCCCTCGCCTTTCCCCGCCCAGTCCTCCGCCCAATCCCCCCTCCCCTCGCCCATGTGCCCATCGGACTCCCCCTGTACCCCTGTCACGCCTGTGCCCAGCATTGGTAGAGCCCCCCGCCATGCCTCGTTTGGCCTGGGAGAAACCAGTTCTGTTGCTGCTGGTGTCTCTGCTGCTACTGCTGTCACTCCTGCTGCTGCTGCCAGTGCCGGTGGTGTTGGTGTTGGAGTTGGTGTTGGTGTTGGTGTTGGTAGTGCTGGTGCTGGTGGTAAAGCCGTTGTTGATAGTGCTGGTGCTGGTAGTGGGGCTAGTAGCATCGGTGGTAAGGCCGAAATGAGCAGCAGCGGCAGAAGCGGCGGCAGCAGCAGCAGTGGGGGTAGCAGTATCAGGGGTGGGGCCCGTTCTTTCAAGACACCAGAAGCAGTGACGCCACTCCCTCCCTCTGCTGCTGCTGCTGCTGCTGCTGCTGCTGCTGCTGCCGCAACCCCTACCACCAGCACCAGCACTAGCACCAGCGCAGTTACCCCAAGCACAGGCAGTATCAGCAGCACAGAATGGGCAGTGGGCGTGCGTCAGCTAAAATCCGTCGCAGAACGCTGCCTTGCCATGTCAGCAGACGATTTTGGGCGGCAGAGTGAGTCCATTGTGCAGGAGCTGAACGCTGCCAGACAAGCCATGCCGCCCGGAAGCCCCCTGCGCCAGCTCATCATGAAGCTTCTTTTTGTCCTGACCCGATGCACGAGATTGCTACAGTTTCAGAAGGAAGGAGGCGGTGTGGGCGGCAGGCATAGTGATGGGGGGGATGGTGGAGAGATAAGGGCTAACAGCATGGGGAAAGACGGGATGAGTGAGGAAGAAGAAAGAGGAGGAGAGGGAGGAGGGGGAGAAGGAGGAGGGATGGGAGTTAGTAGTGACCCGGGTGGCACTGCTGATGTCAGACCTGTTGGGGGAAGGCGAACAGGGGATGTGGTAACTGCCAGACTGGGAACATCTGTAACACTGGGTGCAAGGAGCAGGAGGGCAGAGTTACATGTGGTTACCAAGCAACCAGACGCACCCCTGGTTACCAGACTGTCAGACGGGCAAATCCCTGTGGTTTTGGAAAAGGGGAGGCCTAGGCGAGTGGTGTTTGGAAGCGACTCACGATGGGAGGAGGCTTTAAACCTGCATCGGAGTGGTAATAACGAGGATGAGAGCAGGCAGAGTGGGAGTAAGAGGAGCAGTGCAGTTTGGAGTGGTTTGCCGGAGTTAGGAGGGTGGAGTGATGGATATGAGGAGCAACAGCAGCAGCAGCAGCAGAAGAAGGATGGGGAAAGGCATGAGGCAGCAGAAGGGGGAGGAGAAGAAGCAGCAGAGGAAGGGAAAGTTAGCATTGTTAGCAAGGCCCAAGAGGGAGAGCAGCAGCAGCAGCAGCAGCAGCAGCAGCAGCAGCAGCAGCAACCGAGGCCCTCGTTACGTTCCATCCGCTCGCGGTCCAGTTTCCAAAGCCCCGAGCACAGACGAGCAGCTCTAGCTGCTGCTGCTGCTGCTGGTGCCGCTTCTGCTGCTGCTGCTGCTGCTGCTGCTGCTGCTGCTGCTGGTGCCGCTTCTGCTGCTGCTGGTGCGACTGGTGCTGCTGCTGGTGGTGTTGCTGGTGCAGCTATCGATGCTTCTGATGGTGATGCTGACGTGGTTGATCGAGCAGCAGCAGCACTGGCAGCAGCCATTGCAGCAACCGCAAAAACAGCCGGAGCAGGAGCAGGAGCAGGAGCAGCTGAGCTTGCAGCATCAGCAGGAGCTCTGGGCCAATCAGGGAGGAGAACCCCAACGCACACAGACGGCAGCAGCAGCACAACCAGCAGGTCTCAAGGGAGGCTTGATCACGTGCTCTCACTCTCACTACCCTCCCTCTCCTCACTGCCCACGCTCTCCTCACTCCCCTCCCTCTCCGCTCTGCCCCTGCTGCGTCCCCCTCGACCGCCTGATGGGAGTGGCAGGGGGCAGATGGCAGCACAGGAGGCCATGCGCAGTAGAAGCGACGACAGGCTGTCGCCAGCTGGCTTGGTGGCGCCAGCTGGGCTGGGTGAGCTGTCCCCTGGGAGTGCTGACTTGTCAACCCATGGGTTGACTGGCTCGCCTCAGGGGTTGACTGGGTCTGCTCAGGGGTTGACTGGGTCAGCTCTGGAGGTGCTGCTGACTGACAGGCTGTCACCACCTGGTGTAACGAGCGAATCATGGCTCGATTTCACTCGGAGCTTCCAGGAGATGTCTCAGGTGAATCAGCAGGTTCATGTGAACCAGCATGTTCAGGTGGAGCGCAGTCGAAGCAGCGAGAAGCTGCCACCACCTGGCAGAAAGTTACTCCACTGGGGAGGATCCTTCCAGGAAAGCGGCAGTAGAATTGCTGCAGCTTCTGCCAATATCCTGAGTGGTGGTGCGGGCATGGCTGCAGATCTTGCTGCATGGGACCTGCTGCTGCTGCAGCGGAAGGGGAAGGAGCAGCAGCGGGAAGGGGAATGGGAGCGGGAGAGGGAAGGGGAGGGGGCTGCATGGTCCTTGAAACCTGCTCCTGCTGCTTCCGGTGGTGGTGGTGCTGCTGCTGCTGGCGCTGCTCCTATTTTTGCCACGCCTGCTGCTGCGACTACCGCTGCTGCCCCACCTACCGCTACCACCACCACCCCTGCCACTGCTGGCTCTGAGAGGGCCCGCACGCCCCCTCTGATCCGCGCTGGCAGCTGGAAACGGGGCAGCGGCCGGGTGTCCACTTGGGGAGGGGCAGGAGCCTCAGTGGTAGCAGCAGGGGGAACAGGAGCATGGGGAGGGGCGGCAGCAGGGGCGGCAGCAGGGGCGGCAGCAGGGGAGGTGAGTCCGAGTCCGAGGAGGCTGACAGCGTCACTGAGTGGGCGACTGGGGGAGGTGCTACTGGCGGTGGAGCAGCAGGCTCAGCGGTTCTCCTGCTCCGCTGGCCTGCTGGCTGTTCCCTCGGAAGGAGCTGCCGGTGGTTTAACTGTTGGTGGTTTAGGTGCTGCGGCTGCTGTAGCAGCAGGGATGGGTGCTGTATCAGTAGGGACGGGTGCTGTAGCAGCAGCATCGCATGGGAAGTCAAGCAGGTCTCCCCAGGCGAAGGCGATGGGTGGTGGTGTGGTCGCCTTGCGGCCTCCCAAGTCTCCCCAGGGGGTGAAAGATGTGCAAGAGAGTGTAGAGGTGAAAGGATCGCTTGGGGATGGGGAGCTGGAAGAGGGTAGAATAGAGGGTAGAGGAGAGGGCAATATCGAGACTGATAATGTGGTGGACCAGATGGTGGAGGAGAAAGGGTGGCAGGCGAGAGGGTACGAGAGTGTGAATGATGTTTCTGTGGCTGTTGCTGCCGTTGCTGCTGCTGCTGTTGCTGCCTCTGTGGGTGCACCAGCGGAAGCAAAAGCAGACGTAGCATCTGAAGGAGCAGCAGCAGCGGCAGCAGTGGCATCAGCAACAGTAGGGGCGCAGGAAACAAGACAGGAAAAGGGCAGCGGCAACAGCAGCAGTAGGGGAGCGTTTGAGGGCTGGCATGAGATGGTGGTGGTGGGGGATCGGGGTGAGGGGGACCACGAGAGTGAGCAGGAGAGGAGTGCAGTGCGGCAAGGCGTGCATGGCAAGTCAGGGTTAGGATTAGGGTCAAGAGAGGTGGTCCGAGAGAGCGGAGTGGGGACGTTGACAGAGGCAGAGAGGGGGGGTGCAACAGCGAGCAGAGGGGAAAGAGTAGGGGATGCATTGGAGGAAGGGAAAGGTGTGATTGGGGTGATAGGAGCAGGGGGTGTGCGAGAGGATGTGAGAGAGGATGCGTTTTTGGAAAGAGGAGCTGTGGTGATGGGGCATGATGGCTCTGTTGGAAGAACTTCTGAGGTGGCACCTGAGAAGACACCTGAAGTGGCACTTGAAGTGGCACCTGAGGTGACACCTGAGGGAACATCTGAAGGTGGTTTGCTCCCATGTCCTCCGGAGGAGATTCTTCACCTGCCGCTGGTTCGGATGAGTCGAGGGAGTGACCTGACCACCCCGTTTCATGCTCTGCTTCCCTTTGGTGATGCTCCCTTTGCTGCTGTTCTGCCAAGCCATGCTGATGCTGCTGCAGCGAGCCCTGGTGGGTTTGGCGGAACCTGGAGTGCTGCTGCTGCTGCTGCTGCTGCTGCTGCTGCTGCTGCTGCTGCTGCTGCTGCTGCTGCTGCTGCTGCTGCTGCTGCTGCTGCTGGAGAAACAGCAACGGTGGGGGAAGGCCAGCGCGAGACTGGGGGGTTGAGGGAGTGGGAGGAAGGGCAGGTGAAGGGGCAGGTAATGGAAGTGCAAGGAGAAGAAGTGCAGATGCAGCAGGGGCAGGTGGAGCAGCAGACGGTGGGTGGTGAGACTGGGAGAAAGGCACCGCTGCAGACAGTGGCTGCAGAGGAGACTTTTGAGTCGACTCAAAAGTCACCTCATGAGATTGGGAGAAAGGCACCGCTGCAGACAGAGGTTGCAGAGGAGGGGAAGAGGGTGGTGGAAGTCAAAGCGGAGGTGAAGGGGGAACGGGAAGGGGATGGAGATGGGATAGCGATTGACGAAGAGAAGGAGGGAGAAAAGGGAGTGCGCCAAGAGGAGGGAGAGAAGAGAGTGAGAGCAGGAAAAGCACGGGAAGCGGAAGGGGCGGTTGATGGGGTGGATGGGAACTTGCCTTCGGTGGTTGAAAAGGCTGCAGACAAGGCAGATAGATGCAGCGAGTTGCAGAAGCAGCAGCAGCAGCCACAGCAGCATCAGCAGCTGCGACAGCCAGCAGGGGGAGCAGCGAGTGAAGGGGTGGATGAGAGTGTGCTGCTGCAGATAGTGAAAGAGAGGCTCAAGCTTGAAAGGACCAGTTCTGGTAAGCTGCTGCCCTACAGGTACGGCTTCTGGGGCCGGTCTGATAGTGTTGGCCGGCAGGACAGTGTCGGGCGGCAGGACAGCGTTGGGCGGCAGGATAGTGTCGGGCGGCAGGATAGTGTTGGGCGGCAGGATAGTGTCGGGCGGCAGGATAATGTTGGGCGGCAGGATAGTGTTGGGCGGCAGGATAGTGTCGGGCGGCAGGATAGTGTTGGGCGGCAGGATAGTGTTGGGCGGCAGGATAGTGTCGGGCGGCAGGATAGTGTCGGGCGGCAGGATAGTGTTGGGCGGCAGGAGGATTGGAAAGCCATAGTGGAGGAGTTGAAGGGGGTGGTGGAGGATGGGACACTGAAGGGCCGGCAAGAGCCAGACGACATGTATGGGGAAGAAGGAGGAGTCGCTCAAAGGACAGATGTGCAAGGCATGGGAGCAGATGCAGGAGACACGGGAATAGCATCAGGATCTGCGATGGGAGAAGGCATAGGAGCACAGGGAGAGGCAGGAGTAGGGGCAGGGGCAGGGGCAGGAGCAGGGCTGGGGGCGGGGGCAGGGGCAGGGGCAGGGGCGGGCATGGGGGCAGAGAGGGGACGGGCGAGCAGAAGCACATCCGCAAAGGAGAATGCGGAGGAGGAGGAAGCAGTGGTGATGTGCCGGATATGTGAGGAGGAGGTGCCGCTGCGAGACCTGCAGGAGCACTCGTGCCTCTGTGCCCTCGCCAACCGGTGCGACGACACACGGTTACCGCTTGATGAGCGGTTGCATAGGCTCGGAGCTGGGTTGGATGCGGTGGTGGCAGAGCTGTCTGTTAGGCTTGAGGCCGCTTTTGCATCGGATGCTGCTGCTGCCGCCGCCGCTGCTGATGCCGCTGCTGCTTCTAATGCCGCTGCTGCTGCTAATGCCGCTGCTGCTGCTAATGCTGCTGCTGCTGTTAATGCGCCTCCTGCTGCTGCTGCTAATGCTGCTGCTGCTAATGCTGCTGCTGCTAGAGCTGCTGCTAGTGATGGTGGCGATGCTGCTGCTACTGGTGGTGATGATGGTGCTGCTTCGAATTCTAGTCCCCAGGGCATGAAGTCAGCTCAAAGCGACTGGCACTTCGCTGCTCAAGTGGAGCACAAAGAGACGGAAGAGAAGGCACCTGGGATTAGCAAGCTGAGTATTGAGACTCATCAGAGCCCCCTAGGTTCCCATGAGACCCCTGAGTTGCTGGAGCAGCTGCCAGAGAAAGCATTTCTAGAGGAGCCTGAGAGGCAGGGGCAGCTGGGGAAGGGAGCGAAGGAGCAGGAGCTTTCAGAGGAGAAGGAACAGCAGCGTTTATCGCAAGAAGACTCGCACCTTGCGCAGCAGCAGGAGCAGCAGCAACAACTGATGTCAGAGTGGGAAAAGCAGCATCAAGCAGCAGGTGCACCTCCACCAGCACCACCATCATCATCATCGTCACCACCACACATGGACCAACAGAAACAGCAGCAGCAGAATCAATCACCACAGAAGCTGCAGCAGCAGAATCGATCACCACAGAAGCTGCAGCAGCAGAATCGATCACCACAGAAGCTGCAGCAGCAGCAGCAGCGGTCGCCCCTGTCAGTGCGCACCTCCCAGGCACACGGCAGCCCCTGGAAGCTGGATCTCGTGCCTCTCATGAAACGCGCAGGCCTCTCCCTCTCCGCCTCCTCCTCCCCCACCCTCTCCCCAGCCAAGCGAACAGCCCTATCCAACACTTCCTCCCCGGCCCTCTCCCCTTCTGTGCAGGTAACAGGGCTATCCAATCCCTCCTCCCCCAATCTCCTCTCCTCTGCTGTGAAGCGAACAGGGCTGTCCAACCCCTCATCTCCTAGCCTCGCTGCTCCAGCCAAGCGCACAGGTGGTCTTGCTAGTGCCTCCTTTCCTCTTGCCAGTGCCTCCTTCCCCAGCCTTCCTGCTGCAGCCAAGCAGGCTTCTCTCTCTGGCTCCCCTCCAGTTCTCCCCGCTGCTGAGCGCGCTGCCGTTTCAGACGCCTCCTCCTCTGCAGCTGATTCAGCTGGTTCAGCAGGGGTGTCAGATTGTGCAGCAGCGGTGGCGGTGGCAGCGCAAGGAGCGGGTACAGCAGCAGCAACAGGAACAGCCGAAGCAGAAGCACAGGCAGAAACTGACGCAGCAGCAACACGAACAGCAGCAGAAGAAGCAGTATCGGAAGCAGGAGCAGCATTGCCAGCAGCAGCCCTGACCACTGCAAGGTCTCTCCCCGCTGCTGTACCCTCTCCCTCACAGACTCTCCCTGCGTCAGCTTCTGAAAGCCATGCTCTACAATCACAAAATGCACAATCACTCGGCTTAAAATCACACCACCTGCAGTCACTGAGCCTCTCGGGAGCCCAGTCAACGTCAGTCAACGCCGGTCAGCACGTGTGGGGCAGCATGAGCAGCACAGGCGGGGGGCATGGCAGTAGGTTGCCTGGGGGGGAGTCTCTTATGAGGAGGGGGGGCAGTGTGGGAGGGGAGATGGAGCTTCTGGGAGTGGGTGCGGCAGTGGAGGAGATTGATGAAGAAATCAACGTGGTGAGTTGTGTGCCTTTTTGGGTTGACTTGTGCGTTGACTCGTGAGTTGACTTGTGAGTTGACTCGTAAGTCAGCTGGGGGGCGACATGGAGTTGTTGGGAGCAGGTGCAGCAGTGGAGGAGATTGATGAAGAAGTCAACGTGGTGAGTAGAAGGCTGTGGTGAGTTGTTCGCTTTTTTAGTGAGTTGACGTTTAGGTTGACTTGTGAGTTGACTTGACTTCTGGATTGACTTTTTAGTTGACCGTATTTTGATCTCTTCTGTGCTCACTCTCTGCTTACCCTATCTCTTCTCCCTACCCCTTGACTTTCCTCTTTTCTGTTCTTACCTGCACTCCTCCCCCACACCTCTTCCCCCCCAGCTGAACGACCTAGCGGACATAGCGGAGGATGTGGGGGAGGTGCAGGTGGGGGGGGCAGGCGGATGCTCTCGCGCTGCTCTCCACCGACATCCACGACCTCTCTGCTCTGCTGCGCTCCCCTCCCATGCTGCTGCTGCCACGCTTCTGGCGTGTCGCTTGCTCTCACTCCCAGCCTCCGCTCTTCCTCTCCCCCATGCTTACCCTGTCTCCTTCACCCCCTTCCCCCCACGTCCCCCCTCCCCAAACCCCCCCCCCCCCCCCAGCTGAACGACCTAGCGGACATAGCGGAGGATGTGGGGGAGGTGCAGGTGGGGCAGGCGGACGCCCTCGCGCTGCTCTCCACCGACATCCACGACCTCTCCGCGCTGCTGCGCTCGCACGCTGCTCGCTTCCCCTGCGTACAGATCTTCGGGCTTCGGATTGCCATCCTGCTGCAGTAAGCCACACAGGGTGTTGGTGGTATGGTATGTGCACGGTCGTGATTCTGTGCTCTGTGCCCTCGCTCTGCTCTCCACCGACATCCACGACCTCTCTGCTCTCCTGCGCTCGCACGCTGCTCGCTTCCCCTGCGTGCAGATCTTTGGGCTGCGCATAGCAATTCTGCTGCAGTAAGCATGGCTTGGTGCATTGTATCTGCATGTTGTTTGGTGTTTGGAGTCAGGGAGTGTATGTGTGATAAGACACGCAGTGTGCTGCTGGGTTGGATTGTGCATGGTTGTTGTACTTCTGTGCGCTGCTCTCTCCTGACATTCCGCGACCTCTCCGCCCTGCTGCTGCTCTCTCCCCCCTTTAGAGAGAAGTACCAAAGAGTGCTGCAGCTTCAAGCATTTCACGGCGGGCCCGAAGCAGCAGCTGCCTCCCCCAGCCCAATAGCAACCCCAGCAACTTCCGCTCTCCCGTCTCCCCCCCACCCCCCTGCTCCCCCTTCCCCTGCTCCCCCTTCCCCTGCTCCCCCCTCCTCTCCCAGAGAGAAGTACCAGCGAGTGCTGCAGCTTCAAGCATTTCACAGCGGACCAGAAGCAGCAGCTGCCTCCCCCACCGGCAACCCCAGCGCCACTGGGGGAGCTTGGACTGTCCCCCACTCCATGGGGAGCATTGGCGGCGGGGGGAGCAGGGGAGGCGGGGGCGGATGCGGGGGGGGGATGGGGGAGAAGGAGCAGCGCACGACTATTGATGACTTTGAGATTATCAAGCCCATCAGCAAGGGGGCGTATGGGCGCGTGTTCCTGGCTCAGAAGAGGACGACAGGAGACTTGTTTGCCATCAAGGTAGGTTGATGAACTGGAGCATCTGTGCAAGCCCCCCATCAGCAAAGGGCGCGTATGGGCGCGTGTTCCTGGCTCAGAAGCGAACTACGGGGGACCTGTTTGCTATCAAGGTAGGTAGCAGCAGGAGGGAGGGAAGGAGGGAAGAAGAAAGGGAGAATGCTTTGATGTGTGAGTGGCTTTTGAGGATTCTCGAAGGTGACTCCAGTCAAGTCAACATAGCTGTTGCTGTGTGTGTGAGTACCTGACTACGTTGACAGTGTAACACCTGACTATGTTGACAGTGTAACACCTGACTATGTTGACAGTGTAACACCTGACTATGTTGACAGTGTAACACCTGACTATGTTGACAGTGTAACACCTGACTATGTTGACTATGTTGACTATGTTACACGTGTCAGCTGTTACACAGGTCAGGTACTCAAACACACAGCAACAGCACACAGGTCCAAGGTGACTCCAGTCAACATAGCTGTTGCTGTGTGTGTGTGTACCTGACCTGTGTAAATGCGTCACTTGTTTGAAGTAAGCTGACATGATCCGCAAGAACGCAGTGGAGAGCGTGCAGGCAGAGCGCAATATCCTTGCCTCTGCCAGGAGCCCGTTCGTGGTGCGCTGCTTCTACTCGTTCACTCACATGCCCGCCCTCCTTCTTCCCCTCCAGGTCCTCCGCAAGGCGGACATGATCCGGAAGAACGCAGTGGAGAGTGTGCAGGCAGAGCGCAACATCCTGGCGTCTGCCAGAAGCCCCTTCGTGGTGCGCTGCTTCTACTCGTTCACGTGTCGGGAGAACCTGTACATGGTGATGGAGTATCTCGATGGGGGTGACCTTTTCTCGCTGCTGCATGCATGCGAAGCTTTGGAAGAATCCACCGCCTGCTTCTACACTGCTGAACTGGTGCGTTGACTAGGGTTGACTTGTGTTGACCTGCTTCTACTCGTTCACGTGTCGGGAGAACCTGTACATGGTGATGGAGTATCTCGATGGGGGCGACCTCTTCTCTCTGCTGCACGCTTGCGAGGCACTAGAGGAGTCCACCGCCTGCTTTTATACTGCTGAGCTGGTGAGTGCACTACCATTGACTGGCGTTGACTGGGAGAACCTGTACATGGTGATGGAGTACCTCGATGGGGGCGACCTCTTCTCTCTGCTGCACGCCTGCGAGGCTCTCGAATAGACATGGGCAACGGACCGAGTCGAGTAAAACTCGACTCGGTCTGGGCCAAAACTCGACCGAGTTCGAGCTCGAGTCGGGTGAAACCCGGTCGAGTTTTTTGCCAAGGTTCAGGACTCGAGACTCGACTGTATAAGGGCGAGTTTTAAAAAACTCGACCGGCGCTATTCATACACTCGGTCGAGTCCTAGTTAAACTCGGCTCGGCGGGGGGGAGGGCGGGGGGGCCACACCATAGAAAGGTGAGACCTGAGGCTTATTTTCGTGCATGGTTTTTTGTTGTATACCCTATATTATTGTACGCCTGCGACGCTGCGTAGCCACCTCCACCTGGTCTCCCCCCCCCCCCCCTCCTCCCGCATGATCGCCACGGTGGGTTCCTCCGCCTCCGCTTTCCCGCCGTTGGTGTTCTTACTTGTCAGCTGCTTGAATTTCGCCATGCTAAATCAGTAGATCGACCGTTACATTATTAAATAGTAGCGTTTCCTCCTCCTCAAACCCTCATCGAAACCAACCATACAATAAAACCGCGACCCTAACTAAGCGTAAACCTAGATCTACGTTGCCCCTGAACCGATCTTAAGTTTAAGAAGAAAAAACATCCTTGTGTTTGGCTGGTTTGGCTCTGGAAACTACGCACGACATGTTGAGGAAGGTGACTGACTGAAATCGAGATCTGAAAATGGACCCGCAAAACTTCAACTTTCGAAATTTGTATGCCCACGCCACCCCAATGTCGCCACGAGTTTTTCGTAAATCGCCGAGTCCAGAAAACTCTACGAGTCTGGAAAAAGCTCGACATGGGGCCCGAGCTTGGACCGTGTTTTTTTTAAACTTGGCGGGTAAAACTCGACTCGGTCTGGTCGAGTTTTTTCAACAGGTCCTCGCACTCGACACTCGACCAGTAACGAGTCCCCCGATCGAGTCGAGCTTGGAAACTCGACTCTTTGCCCATGTCTACTCTCGAAGAGTCCACCGCCTGCTTTTATACTGCTGAACTGGTGAGTGCACTACCATTGACTGGCGTTGACTGGGGTGGACTGGGAGAACCTGTACATGGTGATGGAGTATCTCGATGGGGGCGACCTCTTCTCCCTCCTGCACGCCTGTGAGGCACTAGAGGAGTCCACCGCATGCTTTTATACTGCTGAACTGGTGAGTGCACTACCATTGACTGGCGTTGACTGGGGTGGACTGGGAGAACCTGTACATGGTGATGGAGTATCTCGATGGGGGCGACCTCTTCTCCCTCCTGCACGCCTGTGAGGCACTAGAGGAGTCCACCGCATGCTTTTATACAGCTGAACTGGTGAGTGCACTACCATTGACTGGCGTTGACTGGGGTGGACTGGGAGAACCTGTACATGGTGATGGAGTATCTCGATGGGGGCGACCTCTTCTCCCTCCTGCACGCCTGTGAGGCACTAGAGGAGTCCACCGCATGCTTTTATACTGCTGAACTGGTGAGTGCACTACCATTGACTGGCGTTGACTGGGGTGGACTGGGAGAACCTGTACATGGTGATGGAGTATCTCGATGGGGGCGACCTCTTCTCCCTCCTGCACGCCTGTGAGGCACTAGAGGAGTCCACCGCATGCTTTTATACTGCTGAACTGGTGAGTGCACTACCATTGACTGGCGTTGACTGGCGTTGACTGGGAGAACCTGTACATGGTGATGGAGTATCTCGATGGGGGCGACCTCTTCTCTCTGCTGCACGCTTGCGAGGCGCTAGAGGAGTCCACTGCGTGTTTCTACACTGCCGAGCTGGTGCGTGCATTGGGGTTGACTGCGGTTGACTAGCGTTGATTGGCGTTGACTGGTGATGTCTGCCGTTCCCAGGTGCAAACGTTAGAGTAGTTGCGGTCCCCGGGGTGGGCGTGGTGCATTGCAAACCCACAAGTCCTCTCCATCCCTCCCAACCCCTCTCTTCTCCTACATTTCCCAGGTGCAAGCGTTGGAGTACTTGCACTCCCTGGGGGTGGTGTATTCTCTTCCAACCTTCCACCCTCCTCTCCACCCCATTTAACCCCTCTGCCCCCAGGTGCAAGCATTGGAGTATCTACACTCCCTGGGAGTGGTGCATCGGGACATCAAGCCAGACAACCTGCTCATCGCACACGACGGGCATATCAAGGTGAGATGGGTGGGATGGGACGCTCATTCTGCTGCTTCATGGCTTTTGAGGAGCCTCTAATGGCTTCACTCCGTGGGCTGGGGGTGGTGCATCGGGACATCAAGCGAGACAACCTGCTCATTGCACACGACGGGCAGATCAAGGTGACATGTGCAGTGCATGCCCTCGTTTCATTGTGCTTCCAAACATTGCTGAGTCTGGTTTTGATTTTGCTTGAGATGGCTCGCCTGTCAGACCTTGCCCCACCAACACACCATCACCCCTCACTCACCATCCCCCCTGCTCTACAGCTGACAGACGGACTTACGGTTTGCCCAGGGTCGGCCTCATCAACAGTGCCCTAAGTGCGCCCGTCACCTCCCGTCACCCCTCATCACCCCTCATCTCTCTTCATCACCCCTCCTCACCCCTCACCACCCACCCACACTGCTCTACATACAGCTGACAGACTTTGGGCTGTCCAGGGTGGGGCGCATCAACAGTGACCTTAGAGCCCCATCATCTGCTATCACCACTCATCACCCCTCTTCACCCCTCACCACCCCCCACCAACCCCTCAGCTGACGGACTTTGGGCTGTCCAGGGTGGGGCTGATCAACAGCGCCGGGGACCTCTCGACCAATCAGAACCCGCCCATCCCCTCCCACCACGCCTCCGCACCTTCCTCCCCTGGTAAGCACCTACACTGGTAAGCACCTACACTGGTAAGCACCTACACTGGTAAGCACCTACACTGGGTAAGCACCTACACTGGGTAAGCACCTACACTGGGTAAGCACCTACACTGGGTAAGCACCTACACTGGGTAAGCACCTACACTGGGTAAGCACCTACACTGGGGAAGCCCCTCTCCCACCTCCCCCAGCAAGTACCTCGCGCAGTTTGCACCTCCCCCAGTAAGCACCTCCCTTGAAAATCTCTCCCCCCACCACTTTACTGCCTGATTTCGGCAGTGCCAGGCACAGACTGGCCCCTGTTGTCCCACTGAGTCATTGACTCATCTCCTCCTCTCCTCCCCACTCCCCACTCCCCATCCACAGGCAAGCTCTTCCCCCACTCATACAGCGTCAGTTCCGAAGGAGCAGCAGCAGACTCACCGCTCTGGACCGCATCCAGCCTGCAGGAATTCCCCTCGCCCCGCTCTGGACCCCCGTCCACTCTCTCTGGTCCCCACTCCAACCCCGCCTCTGGCTACTCCTCCCCCTTGCATGCTCCCGGATATGCCTCCCCGTTGCATGCATCTGGTTGCTCTTCCCCTCTGCATCCTTCGGGGTTAGGAGGGGGAGGGGGAGGAGGCGGAGGAGGAGGGGGGTCGTTTTGTTCCTCGCCTTCACATTTTGCAGTGGGAGGGGGTGGGGGAGCGGTAGGAGGTGGGGGGGGAGGCGGAGGGGGAGGCGGAGGCGGAGGCGGAGGCGGAGGCGGAGGGGGAGGGGGAGGGGGGATGCACTGTTCGTCTCCATCTCAGATCATCACGCAGCGGTGGCAGCAGCAGGCTCAGCATGCCTCCCTGCTGAGACGCCTGGCAGGCGCAGGTGAAGGTAACGGGGGGAGCGGTAGCACAAGCAACGCATGGGGTAACGGCAACGGGAATGGCAATGGCAACAGTGAGAGTGATGAGCGCAAGGGAGGGGGGGACTGCGTGGAAGACGAGGAGGCAAGCAAGGAGGACGGTGCAGAGGAGGAGAATGTGGAGGGGTATGGGGAGGATGATGGGGAGGGTAACGGGAAGGAGGATGGTAACAGTGAAGCCACGCGTACTGCTCCTGCTGCTGCCATGCCAAATACCACAGAGCCAGCTGCTGCTACAGCTGCTGGTGCTGATGCCGCTACAGCTGCTGCAGGGAGGGTGGCAGTGGAAGCAGTGGGAGGAGGGGGAGGAGGAAGAGCACCCGAAGGGGGGGACAGCAGGGGAGCGGGAGCGGAGGGGGGAGGGAGGGTGGCAGTGGAGGCAGTGGGAACGCCAGACTACTTGGCTCCGGAGATTCTGCTCGGCCTTCCACACGGTGCGCGGTTTTGTGAGGTGGAGTGCGGTGCTGGGTAATTTGACTTGGTGCGGTGGGTACATGGTATGGGTATGGGGGCGAGACTACCTGGCTTTGGAAATTCTGCTCGGCCTTCCACACAGTGCGTGGTGTCGTAAGGTGGAGTGCGGTGCCATGTGGTGTTTGGCACCGACTGGTGGTCGGTGGGAGTGCTGCTGTACGAGCTGCTGGTGGGGATCCCGTCCTCTCTTGGGGTAGTGGGGACATCGAGCGGGGCTAGGTAAACCCGGGCTTGCATTGCCCCCACCCTTGGTTGCCCCTTCCCCTGCTGGTATTCTTTTCTCTCTGCACCCCTCTACTCGCCCTACTTGGCCCAGCAGCGGACTGGTGGTCGGTGGGAGTGCTGCTGTATGAGCTTCTGGTGGGGATCTTGCACCGCTGGGGGGTCCCTATAGTACTCGCTTCTATGTCACTCCGGATTCTTCTCTCTGTATTCTTCTCTGCTCTCTGCTCCCTCCTTGTTCACCCTCTCAGGCCCAGCAGCGGACTGGTGGTCGGTGGGAGTGCTGCTGTACGAGCTGCTGGTGGGGATTCCACCCTTCAACGCCCCCTCTCCTCAGGTACCTCTCTCCCCTCTCATCCTCTCACCCTCTCACCCCTGTGTGCGCACACACTGTTAACACGCTTGGAATTGTTTTTACACAATACCCCTTCCACAAACCCCCACTCCCCCACCCCACAACCTAATGCACATTCCTTGTTGTGCATACTGTCCTTCCGTTCCCTCCCATATCCTGCTGGTTCCTGCTGTATTTCCCCTTACAAGTGAATCCGTGGCAACAAAATGTCCCTTCGCCTGCGATCCCTCCTTATCCCCTGCTATGCCCGCTTTGCTTATCCCCCTTATAAGCAAATCTTTGACAACATATTGAACCGCGACATCACATGGCCAGCCGTGCCAGAAGACATGTCATACGAGGCGAAAGACCTCATTGACAGGTATGTGCCTTGAGAGACCTCACTGCCAGGTATGTGTGCATTGCGTGCGTGTGTCTTGTGAGCGCAAAAAACACACGCGAAGGACCTCAACCGCGGGATCACATGGCCTGCTGTGCCGTGCCAGAAGACATGTCATATGAGGCCAAGGACCTCATTGACAGGTATGCCGCCTTGACCGGTAAGTGCGTTGCCTGTGACTTTTGAGGCGCTTCAAAAGACATCACATGGCCTGCTGTGCCGTGCCAGAAGACATGTCATATGAGGCCAAGGACCTCATTGACAGGTATGCCGCCTTGACCGGTAAGTGCGTTGCCTGTGACTTTTGAGGCGCTTCAAAAGACATCACATGGCCTGCTGTGCCGTGCCAGAAGACATGTCATATGAGGCCAAGGACCTCATTGACAGGTATGCCGCCTTGACCGGTAAGTGCGTTGCCTGTGACTTTTGAGGCGCTTCAAAAGACATCACATGGCCTGCTGTGCCGTGCCAGAAGACATGTCATATGAGGCCAAGGACCTCATTGACAGGTATGCCGCCTTGACCGGTAAGTGCGTTGCCTGTGACTTTTGAGGCGCTTCAAAAGACATCACATGGCCTGCTGTGCCGTGCCAGAAGACATGTCATATGAGGCCAAGGACCTCATTGACAGGTATGCCGCCTTGACCGGTAAGTGCGTTGCCTGTGACTTTTGAGGTGCTTCAAAAGACATCACATGGCCAGCTGTGCCAGAAGACACGTCATACGAGGCGAAGGGCCTCATTGACAGGTAAGCGCCGTGCCTGTGGCAAGCAACAGGTGAGCGTCGTACTTCTCACACTGCAGCCCTTCTCCTGTGGGCGAAGAGCAGCCGTGCCAGAAGACATGTCATATGAGGCGAAGGGCCTCATTGACAGGTAAGCGCATTGACTGGCTTTTGAGTCGACTTCAGATGCATTGCCTGTGACTTGCGAGGCGCCTCAAAAGACATTACATGGCCTGCCGTGCCAGAGGACATGGCGGAAGATTTTATTGACAGCGATGTGCCATGCGAATTCCCAAACCAGGTCAAGGTGGACGTGTTGTTAGAAAAGGAACACATGTCATTTGAGGCAAAGGACCTCATTTGCAGGTAAGCGCCTTGCTTGTGCCAATCAACTTCAAATTTTAACGCGTACTCTACGCTTATCCCAGTGACTCGCTGGAAATAGGGAAGGGGGATGGGGGAGTGGGGGGGGAAACGAGAGAAACAAAAGGAGAACGAAAAAAAAACCCTCACTTCAGTGCTATTTATCCCATTATCCTTGCTGTTTCCCTGCCTGGTGCTCTCTCCTGTGTTCTGCAGGCTTCTCACATTCGACCCCGATGAGCGACTTGGTGCCCAGGGAGCAGACGAGGTCAGCCACCCCTTGCCACCCCTTGCCACCCCTTGCCACTCCTTACCACTCCTTACCACCACTTCTCTCCCTTGCTCTCCGTGCACTCACTCTGCTGCTATTTACTCAGTCCATTTCCTTGTTCTGTTGCTTACCCTTCGCTCTGTGTGTGTTTGTGTTTTTTTGTTTTGCTCTTTGTTCTGCTGGAAACGTGACATGACTGCCCCTTCCGCCCCTCTCGCACGTGCTGCAGATCAAGAGGCATCCCTTCTTTCGCGACATTGACTGGGACACCCTCTCCTCTGAAAAGGTTAGACCCTTTCTTTTCCTGCACTTACTGCACCCATTTCTGCTGCTGCTGCTGCTGCTGCCCAAGTGCCGTAACAGCAACGATCTAATGTCCTATCTTCTGAATCCCCTCCTCTGCCTCCCTTTCAGCCCCCATTCATTCCCGAGCCGGAGAACGCACACGACACATGCCGTTACGGGGCAAACGCGCTGGAAGGAGGGGAGGGCGAGGGGGTTGAGGGGGGTGTGGAGGGGGCGGATAGGCACAGCAGCAACTGATTTATTCCCCTAACATTTCATGTGTCCCCTTCCCCCACCCCCATCAGCCCCCGTTCATTCCCGAGCCGGAGAACGCACACGACACGAGCTACTTTGCATGCCTCTACGGGGCAAACGCAATGGAAGGAGGGGAGGGCGTGGTTGGCTTGGTGAGTGGGGGGGGGAGGGGGGGGGAGAGCAGTGGGCGCAGCAGCAACTGATTTATTCCCCTCTCTTGCCAATGTGACCCCCTGCCCTCCTCTCAGCCCCCGTTCATTCCCGAGCCGGAGAACGCACACGACACGAGCTACTTTGCCTGTCGCTACGGGGCAAACGCAATGGAAGGAGGGGAGGGCGTGGTAGGAGGGGCGGGGGGAGCGGATGGGCGCAGCAGCAACTACAGCAGCAGCGGCGGCAGCACGAGTGACTCGGAGGATTTGGAGATGGAAAGGGTCAGAGATGGGGGAGGGAGGGGGGAGGGTGGTGGAAGGAGGGGGAAGAGAGGTGGCAAGAAAAGGGTGTAATTAGGGGATTCAAGTTGAGTTGTAGCAGCGGCGGCAGCACGAGTGACTCGGAAGACTTGGAGATGGAAAGGGTGAGCTGGGGGGTGTTTGCCAGGGGGAAGGGGGAGAGAGAAAGAGGGGGAGGGTTGTTGGTTTTCTTGAGGTGCAGCGGCGGCGGCAGCACGAGTGACTCGGAAGACTTGGAGATGGAAAGGGTGAGCTGGGGGGAGTTTGCCAGGGGGAAGGGGGAGCTGGCATATCTCTCCCCCATCAGCACGATGAGGCGGGTGACATGCCAGCGTGCCATTCGATCAAGTCTGTTCTTTGAGACGCCTCAAATAAACTCTCTCCTCGCTGCTCCTTACCCCCCCACCCCTCCCTGCTCTCCCCCATCAGCATGACGAGGCGGGTGACATGCCGGCATTCCAGTCCAACGTGGTTGACTTCTCAGGCTTTTCCTTCAAGGTACGCTTCCTGGCTTGGACGTAGCATGGGTAGGATGGGTAGTCTGACGGTTGCTAATTTCAGATGCCTTCGTGAAAATGCTAATCGCTTCTCAGGCTTTTCCTCCCCGGTAGTTTCCTGGCTTTGAGCTTTCCTGGAAAGCGAACCCTTTCCACAGCAAACCCAGTCCCCCCCAACCCGCTGCCCCTGCTCTTCTTTCCTGTTTCCCCTCTTTCTCTCTCTTGTTCATTCATGCGTTTCAGAACCTCTCCCAATTGGCTTTCATCAACACTGAGATCCTGGAAAGGCGTCAGAGCCCACCTAATGGGCCAGCAACCGAGTCTCCGTGAAGTGTAAATAAGGCTGTAGAAGTTTGTTAAATTCCCAATATTTTTTTAGCACTCCAATTATCCAATTGTCTCAGGCACTCACACCATTGCAGCTGCTCCATATGAGCAACTGGGCCTACCAAAAATGCCCCTTGTCTTCCTTTTTACCAGAGCGTAGATCTTAGGACCATGTTACCTTATATTAGTGGCGCTTCCCTTATGTGAAGCATCTCTTTGATTACCCTTGTATGCGGTCACTCTGGGGTTAGTGGCACTACTGAATCTGGTGAGGAAGTTGATCGTTATGGAACAACTGACTTCATATAAGTATAGCACACAAAAGTAGTGTACAAATATCTAGGGAGTAATGCCAAACCAAGGCTCTCTTCACACTTCAGGAGGCTTGGCTTGGCATTCCCCTGTGCGACACACTCCACCCCGAGATTAGCGCCTCCCAATTCTTCTGGCTGTCGTTGACCATGCGATAAATGTTTTACGCCATAATAGTGTCCGCTGCTTCTGATGCCGTAACAGGGGCCAGCTGGCGAGCACCCGCGCTGCTGACGCGGCACGCGCGCAGAATCCAACGGTGGGAGAGGATAGCGGCAGCTGACGGCCTTCTCGCAGCGTCCTTTTGAAGCAGGCACCGCACGAGGTGCTTCGCCTCTTCCGACACTCCCTCCCACTCCGCACCGCTCATATCAACCACACCGCGAAGCACCTCCACGAAAACGTCCTTATCCGTAGCTCCCCAGAAAGGCGGAACGCCGCTGAGGAGAATGTAGAGAATGACACCGAGCGACCACACGTCGGCTCCTAGAGAGTAATCGCCTGTGAGGACCTCAGGTGCGATGTAAAACGGCGACCCTGCGACTCCTTTCGTGCGTTCGCCTGCCTCAAGCGCGACGCCGAGGCCAAAGTCTGCGACTTTTGTAATCAGGGGTGCGGCGCAAAGCGGTACAGATGGGTCCCGCACAAGCAGGATGTTTTCGGGTTTCAGGTCGCGGTGGAGAACGCCGCGGGCATGGCAGTGTGCGACGGCTCCTGCGATCTGCGCGAAAACGCTCGCGGCGTCGCGCTCGTGGAATTGCCCGCGTCGCACAGCTTCGTCGAACAACTCGCCGCCTTCGCAGAGCTCCATCACGAGGTGCACTGCGACGTCGTCCTCAAAAACGGCGCGCAGCTGCACGACCCCTGCGTGCGCGCCGCCCACTGCAACCCGTTGCATCAAACTAATTTCCTTCCGTATCTCGTCACGCTCCGCCTCGCTCTTAAGCCCGTCCTTTAGTAGGGTCTTGCAGGCGAAGCGCGAGCCTGTGACGCGCTCCGTGCAGCGGCGAACGGTGCCGAACTGGCCAGAGCCTAACACGTGAGGATCCAGAACAAAATAATCCTCGAGACGGCCGGTAGGGAAGGGGAGAACGCAGGAGGACGCTGAGCTGGCGTTTCCGGACTCGTCAAACCGGGGTCGCAATTCTGAGTCGTATGAGGAAGGTTCGGCTAAGTGGCTGCACTGCGAACCTAGGGAATGCGCGTTGCGACCATCGTGCTCGTACTGCGCGGCGGGAGTCTGGAGGGAGAAATGCACCATTGTTCTGGGAGAGTTAAAAAGTGCCGCTTAAAGCCCGAGTCTAGAATGGCAATGTTTCATAAATACTGAAGTTGAAAGTGGTTTACGAAGGGTGGCGAGAGTTCAATTCGCTAAACCAGGATGGCGAAAGGTGACGAGCTGCGAATACGACCCTGTGTATTGTTGGCCACTTTCGAGTTCAAGAAACTTGAAGGCTGCACAAAGGACAAAAGTGCCACAAGGCGAGAACATCTGAAAGTCGAATGTGTGATTGACAAAATTATTTCAGCATATAAGGCTGGTGCGATAAGAATATAAGACTGACGTGATAGCAATCCTAAAGTGGAGAAAATTTTCAAACACCGTAATTTGTGTGGTTGAATGAGCATCAGTAATGCTAATTACAGAGGATTTCCACATTTCAATACGATTTGAAACCAGGGACGATAAAAAATAAAGATGAGATAGTGTCAAGTCAATTATTCCTACAAATCCTTGCCTCATCCATCTTGTGCCCATTACCGGCATCTCTCTTCCGGTTCATATCTGCGAAAGGGCGTGGTGGTGCTTGCATATGCATTTTGTGAGTCGCAATTCGGGAAGCGACTTGAGAAGACCTTGGAGTGAGAAGGGAGGACATTTGAAGGGAGGGAAGGGGAGTGGTGGTGTGGGAATAAGGCTGGAGCAGAGGCGAGGAGGAGGAGAGGAGTGAGGCGAGCGAGGGCAGCGGGCCCGGGGAAATGGGCATGTGGGAAGCAAAAGGACAGACAAGGGAAGTGGGAGGGAATGTGGGGAAGCAGCGTGGGGCGCAGTGGGAGCAGCGCGTGGGCGACGAGGTGTCGAGCGGCAAATGAATTTAGCAAGTGAGTGAGTGATGGGAGGACGTAGGCGGAGAAAGGAGGGATGGGAATCGAGAGAAGACGGAGCTGTGAGGCGGAGACGGGCGGGGAGGCACGGGAGGAGGGAGGGAGGGAGGGAGGGAAGGGGTGGAGGGCAGAGGGAAGGACAAGGGGGGAGGGAGGGAGGGACAAGGGGGGAAACGGAGGGAAGGACAAGGGGGAAGGGAGGGAGGGAAAAGGGGGAAACGGAGGGAAGGACAAGGGGAAACAGAGGGAGAAACAGGGCATACGAATGTTTGACAGAATAAGTATGTGATGGAATGAGTGTTTGACGGCATGAGAGGAGGGAGGGAAATGGAGAGGGATTGGAGGAGGGAGGGAAGTGGTGAGGGATGGGATGAGGGAGGCGAAGAGGAATGTGAGGATAGACGTCGGACATTGGGCGGAATGTGGGGATTCCTGGAAAGCATGGGGATGGGCGATATGCGTCGGAGAGAGACGGAAGGAGAGAGGGAGAGGGATGGGAGGAGAAAAGCAGTGAGGAGAGGGAGGACAGAGGAGGAAAGGGTGTAGGGTGTAAAATTGAAGAGGGTAGGGATGCAGCAGAAGCAAGGACAACAGAGAGGGAGGATGGGAGGGTAAGCATGGTGACGGGAAGGGAAGATTCGGGCACGGATGAAACAGTGAGTAAGACAATGGGGTAAATGGAGGGAAATGGGCATGGGGGAAACGGAAGGAATGACAAGGGGAGTGGGGGACGAAGCGGGGAAGCAGCGTGAGAAGAGGGAAAAGTGGAGAGGAGCTGAGAGGGAAAGGAGGAGAGGGGCTGAGAGGGAAAGGGAAGAGGGGCTGAGAGGGAAAGGAGGAGAGGGGCTGAGAGGGAAAGGAGGAGAGGGGCTGAGAGGGAAAGGGAAGAGGGGCTGAGAGGGAAAGGAGGAGAGGGGCTGAGAGGGAAAGGGAAGAGGGGCTGAGAGGGAAAGGAGGAGAGGGACTGAGATGGAAAGGAGGAGAGGGGCTGAGAGGGGGGCTGAGAGGGAAAGGAGGAGAGGGGCTGAGAGGGAAAGGAGGAGAGGGGCTGAGAGGGAAAGGAGGAGAGGGAATGAGAGGGAAAGGAGGATTGGAGGCGGAAGACGCGGAGAAGCGCGACGACGAACAGATGGCAGAGCCATTGATGTGACTGCATGCGGAAATGAAAGGATGCGGTCCAGGCAGGAGAACTGAAACCGTGGTGTGGAGACAGGCGGGAGTGCCGCGCGCTACAAGGTGAGCGAGCGACGGAGTGAGTGAGCACGGGAAGAGAGTGTGTGAGCGACAGGACGCATTGAGGGACGGGAGTACGTGAGCGGCGAGAGTGAGTGTGCGGAACGGGAGTGTGTGAGCGACTGGACCTAGGTCATCAGCTGACGCAAGGCGATTGCCCTGTTTGGGCAGTGGGTTCGTTCGAGCGACGGGGGGAGTGCGCGACGGATCGAGTGAGGGACGGATGACGAGCGACGGAGAGGTAAGGGATGGACGGGAGGGAGGAGAACGACAGGAGCGAATGCGGGACGGAAGGGACGGAGGGTGTTGGGCGACGGGAGGGACGGGACTTACGTCCGCAACGGGAAGGACGGGAGGGACGGAGGAGGGACAGAAGGCATGACTGGGACGGGAGTGACGGGAGCGGCGCCCAGGACAGATGCAATAAGGGCGACGGGAAGAGCGGGAGCGATGAGAAGGACTAGAGAGACGGGAGGGACGAGTGCGACTGGAGAAGGAGGAGCGGCGGATACAACGGAAGAGATGGATTATGAGATTTCACTTGCGCCTACCGCGAGCGATCGGATGAATTGGGAGTGTCGTGAGGGACGGTGCAGACCTATGCCATGCAACCCGACGGAAGTCCCCACCTAAAGTCCTAGGTGCTGGGCGTAGTTATCGATAGCTGGCGATGTTGTGGGCTACGGAGCCTACTACTAAACGACTCTAGAAAGGTAGCTTCAAGCTTCAAGTTTCTGGAAGTGTGAACAGTGGTGTCAGTTTTTGTTTGTTCTGGCGAGGGTCGTCAGTGGTTTTGCTGTTGTGCTTTTATCCAATCACATTCCTGCGCTTCAAACACCTTCACAGTGGATCGCGAGAGAGCCCCACAGAAAAGCAGGTTACCTTGTTCACCTGCGAAATCATGTTCAAGAATCTTGAACTTGAACCCTTGCCATTCTAGACTCGGGCTTTAAAACCGGGGTGCACATTCAGCTGAATGTGCATCAAAGGTTATCCCTTGACTGAGTGGGTTACGAGGTGTGCTTTCAACCCCTTCAAGTCGAAATTCGTTTCCCCCCTCCCCCGCAATTTCGTTTCCCCACGCCCCCGCAATTTCATTTCCCCCTCCCCGTCGAAATTCGTTTCCCCCCTCCCCCGCAATTTTGTTTCCCCCCTCCCCCGCAATTTCGTTTCCCCCCCCTCCCGCCAATCTGTTTCATCCCTCCCGCCATTCGGTTTCACCCACTCCCGCCATTTCACCCCCTCCCGCCACCTACGAAATGCCCGAAGCTCTAGCGGAATCATTTTTTTGTCGCCCCTCGTGAGCCAATCACTGTTTTTCTCCAAACCCCCTTCCCAACATCTCAAGCCGAACCGCGTTGAATGTGCACCCTGGTTTTAAGATTGGTAAACCTGGGAAAGTCGAATTTCGTAGTTGTAGTAAGGCCGATTGCTGCTGATTTTCGATGAGCTGTGCCTAGGTTTAGCACGAGGGAGATCAAGTGAGAAGCGGCTGATCTTGCTGCTGGTGTGATGAATGTGTCGGAGGGACAATCTATTTGTAGTGTAACGTCGCAAAGGTGAGTTGTCGTGGACTCGTGGCCCATAAGGGAGGCTTGGGGAGTTTCGCAGACTGTGCGACAGCGTGTAGCTACACGCTGGTGCGTCGGCCAGGTGCGTCGCTTGCGTCGCCCTCCTCGTCGCAATCACTCCATCGACTCGACGGCACCGACAGATGGGGCTGGCGGTGAATGGGGCTGCGAACACAGACCACATTGGGGGCTTCGCTGCGTGCAAAACACTGCTGGTGGGAGGCTTCGTAGAGTCATCGTACCGAGTCGTGCATGCTCTGAGGGCGCACAACGAAATGCCGCGTGTACATTGGCGACTCGTAGGGCCTTTGTCGTTTCCTGGCTGGCATGACTCCCTGGCATCTCGTGGAAAGCTCCACGAATGTTGCGGGAAGAGGAACTTCCTCGAACCCTCAAGAGCTGACTGGAGGAGCGACGGCTTCGCCTGGACGTGGACGCGTTTCAAGCAGGTGTTCTAAATTTTAATAGCGAGTGTCACTGTCTCTCAAGAAATACCTCAACATGCCGAGTGTACACAACATTTCCGCACAAATGAAGATACATGCACCCACGTTCCGAAGCACATCCCAATATTAGCAAAGAACAGACCTCCACGTGAGCCTCGGGTGAAACAAAAGCCCTTCACGTCTGGCCCAACTGCTCCAGGTCAATTTCTGACCGTTGAAATTTGTGATGTTCCGCCGATTTTCTCCTCCGGCGAATCTTTTGTTCTTCGCCGGTTTTGTGGTTCCAGCATTCTTGGGTGCATTCTAGGTCAACGTCGGGAATCGGGATTGCCGAAGCGTCCTTTTATTTCTTGGCTGGTGCCATGCCAGTGGCGACCATGACTTCGGAACATCAGATTTTGCAATTTTATGGCGTCTAATCCCTGACCATTAGTCGCATGAGTAGTTGCAGCCGTTTCGTCTCTAAACCAATTCATCGGCCATCAATTGCCTCTAAGAAAATTACCTAATAATTTCTAGCCTAATAATTGTCATGGCGGATACGGGCAGTTCAGAAAGCCCAGGCCACATGGCACCGTTACCGGAGGGCGTGACGGAAGCTGGTCAGAAGCTTCTGTCCGACGTGGAGGCGGTGATGGAACGATGCAAGGCGCTGCAGGAAACAGCGGCGGGGTACAGCCAGCGACTCAAGAGCGAAGGCAACGCTCTCGGCGAGCGTGCGATCGCGCTCGAAAAGGAGCTTCGCGCGCTGCGAAAGAGCGTCAACGTCGCAGCGGCGAAAGACGAGGTTTCGCCCGAAGTCGCAGAGCAGGTGACTCACGATCGGCTGATTCTTTTGTTAAGCTAAGTATTGAATTGGTGTAACGGGAAGGAAAAGCTGCATGCAATTATCCGCACGGGAGCGCCGCTGAAGGATGGGTTAACTTTTCGCGTCTTCAACATGCGTTAATGAACGGATTAGGGATCCTATTATTTAGACAACCTTGATTCATTCGCGTCATCCTGGCACTTGCCAGCAAGTTGATGAGTATCGTATGTGCGCTAGGAAGCGGTCTACGCTCTCTCCGCTGCTTCTATTACCGTTTCCCGCCCAATCCTCTCCCTCACCCTCCCTCTCCCTTTCTTCTCGCTCTCCTCTCCTTCTCCTCCCCCTCTCCTCTCCTCATCTCCCTCGCCCCTCCCTCTCATCTCCCTCTCCCCTCCCTCTCCCCTCCCTCTCCCCTCCCTCTCCTCGCCCTCTCCTCTCCCTATGCTCTTCCGCTCCTTCAACGCTCAACCATGCGAGCCTCACAGATGGAGGAGGATCTGGTGCGGGCCAGGAGCATGGTGTATGAGGGTGATATAGCGGCGCTGCTGCCACACAAGGCCAACGGTAAGGCATTGATCCCCATTCCATCCCCATGCATATCATACTCGTCCCCGTGCCCACCCCCATCCCCGTGCCCATCCCCATCCCCGTGCCCACCCCCATCCCCATGCCCATCCCCATCCCCATCCCCACCCCCACCCCCATCCCCATCCCCATCCCCATCCCCATGCCCATCCCCACCCCCACCCCCATCCCCATCCCCATGCCCATCCCCATCCCCATGCCCATGCCCATCCCCATCCCCATCCCCATCCCCATCCCCATGCCCATCCCCATCCCCATCCCCATCCCCATCCCCGTCCCCATCCCCATCCTCATGCTCATGCCCATGCCGACTTCCCATGCCTATGCCCATGGCCCTTCAGGCTTCTTCCTATGGCTGTTCCTGGGCCATGTGAATGTTCGGTCATCCAGGAGGGACGTGAGGTTTAAGGTCAAGGAGGAGTACAACAGCTATAGGGTGAGTGCTTGCTTCGTTATAAGATGCCTCACTATAGGTCAATTAGAAGTACAAGAGTCACAGGGTGAGTGGCCTCTTCGTTTAGGAGGCCTCACTTCGCCCCCGCTCTCCCACCTCTTCTTTTTTCCTCGCTCTTCTGCATTGATCCATCTCCTGCTCCCCCTCTCCTGCTCTCCCTCCTTTCGTGCTCTGCCCCTGCGTTGCACCTGGCAGGATCGCACGGCGCTCATCTTCCTGGGTGCGCCGCTGCTGCTGCTGGCAGCGAAGCAGGCTATGAACCAACGCTGCTTGCCAGGCCTCGTGGTGCACGTGTACCAAGTGGGTGCTGGGGGAGGGGCCACTGGGGGAGAGCTAGTTTGGAAGGGCTATAAGGGGAGTGTTAGGTAACGTTGCTGCTGGCAGCCAAGCAGGCCATGAACCAGCGCTGCCTGCCAGGCCTCGTGGTGCACGTGTACCAGGTGGGTGCTGGGGGCACTAGGGAGGCAACACAGGGGGGAAGGGGCCACTGGGGATGATGGGTAGGGAAGGGGGACTGGGGGAGAGGGACAGTGGGGAGCGAGGGGCACTGGGGGTGGGCCTGGAGCTGCTTCTTTTTTCTATTCCAGCTTGGCACCACAAGAAAGCAGTCTAGTGCAAACACACTTTTCCCCACCTCCTCTCCTCCCTCACGATCTTCCCCCTATCTGTCATTTGTCTACACGAACCTGGCTCTGGGAATTAATTATTCTGCAAGCAAAGATTGTGCCCTCTTCCCTCTTCCCCACCTCTATCCTCTTTTCCCATCCCCCTCCCCTTCCCCCCAGGCGTGGCTGCTGCTGTTCTACACCAGCCTGGCTCTGCGGGAAAGCAGATCAGTGCAAACACTCTCCCCAATTCCATTCCACCCCATCTCCTCCTCTCGCCAATTCCCCCACCTGACCCCAGGCGTGGCTGCTGCTGTTCTACACCAGCCTGGCTCTGCGGGAAAACATCCTCCGCATCAATGGCAGTGACATCCGCCCCTGGTGAGGGGAGGAGGGGAGAGGAAGTGGGGAGGGGAGGAGGGGAGAAAAGAGAGAGGGGAAGAGGAGAGGGCAGGAGGAGAGGAGAGGTCGAGTTTGCGGATAGTGCTCACAGGGGGAATACAGTTAAATGAGAGGGTGAGTGCGGGAAGGAGATGCGTCACCTAGGGGGATGGAGACCTTTCCTACGCTCGCCCTTTTATTCTGCTGCACCCCCCCCCGTGTGCACTATTTGCAACCTCGACAGGAAGTGAGAACAGCTCATCGGACATGTTCCCCCTCTCCGCACCACCATCACTACTCTGAAATGCTCATGGCTCATGCCTCATGTGTTGTGGGCCACGTAAATCTACCATTACTACTACGCCATTCTCATGATTCTCGTGAGCCTCACGTGTTGTGGGGCAGGTAAAGAATCCAAATTGCATCCCCACACATTCCCCGCTCCCCCATCCCCTCCACCACCACCCAACTTCCTCATGCTCATGGCGCTCGTGTCACTGGAGAGTGATGCCCCATCCTTACCAACCCTTTCAACCCCATCATCCCCCCCCCTTTCCACCCCAGGTGGATCTACCACCACTACTACGCCATGCTCATGGCTCTTGTGAGCCTCGTGTCGAGCATGACTATCCAACCAACAACATCCCCCCGTTTTCTTCTCTCTCCCCCCCATTGCCCCATCCTCACTTCCCCCCAGGTGGATCTACCACCACTACTACGCCATGCTCATGGCCCTCGTGAGCCTGATGAGTGATGCACCAGCTCTCACTCACTAACCCCTCTCCCCCCCATCAACTCCCCCCCCCCCCCCCCTTTCACCCCAATCCCCCCAGGTGGATCTACCACCACTACTACGCCATGCTCATGGCTCTCGTGAGCCTCACGTGGGGTATGACTATCCAACCAACCACATCCCCCCGTTTTCTTCTCTCCTCCCCCGCCCCCAGGTGGATCTACCATCACTACTACGCCATGCTCATGGCTCTTGTTAGCCTCACCTGGGGCATTGAGGGGCCGGACTGTGCCATGAAGCAGGTGCGAGGGGGATGACATGTGGTGCTGAGGGGTTGAGAGGTGTTATTGAGAAGTGGGCATGAGGGTTGAAGCTCGCGTGGGGCATTGAGAGTCCGGACTGTGCCATGAGGCGAGAGGAGGCTAGCTGAGAGGGGAGGGTGAGAGGTGGGGCTGAGAGGGGAGGGTGCCTTGAGTGGGAGACTTCGAGGTGGTGAGCATGAGGGGTGAGCCTCACGTGGGGCCGGACTGTGCCATGAAACAGGTGCGAGGTGACGGAGAGGGTAGCTTGTGCCATGGTAACGAGGTGACGAGGTGTCATGAGTCGACTCAAAAGTCACCTGGTGAGCCTCAGGTGGGGCCGGATTGTGACGTGAAAGGCTGGCTGGCGGAGAGGGTAGCTGAGAGGGGAGGCTGAGAGGGGAGGCTGAGAGGGGAGGCTGAGAGGGTAGCTGAGAGGGGAGGCTGAGAGGGGAGGCTGAGAGGGGAGGCTGAGAGGGGAGGCTGAGAGGGGAGCCTGAGAGGGTAGCTGAGAGGGTAGCTGAGAGGGTAGCTGAGAGGGGAGGCTCAGAGGGGCCTGATTGCAGAAAAGAGCCTGTATGCTTTTCTACCCCCATCCATTCCCATCCTTGTTCCAACCCCGTTCCCGCCCCGCTATTCCTCCGAGCAGCAAGGCATCATGCTCTTCCTCATGTGGGCCGTCATTCAAGGTGTCGCCATGCTGCTGCAGAACAGAACCTGTATTGCACCCCCTGTGTTGCATGGTTTTCCTTCCCGTCTGTTCCCACCACTCCCTCTCTCAACGAGCAGCAAGGAATCATGCTATTCCTCATGTGGGCGGTCATTCAAGGGGTTGCCATGCTGCTGCAGAAGAGATGTCTTCTATGGCCCCCCCTATGCTTCATAGCTCCCTGCTCCCCCCCTTCCCCACCCGAGCAGCAAGGAATCATGCTATTCCTCATGTGGGCGGTCATCCAAGGGGTTGCCATGCTGCTGCAGAAGAGGTGTCTTCTATGGCCCCCCCTATGCTTCATAGCTCCCATTCCCTTTCGCTCCCTGCTCCCTCCATTCCTCCCGAGCAGCAAGGCATCATGCTCTTCCTCATGTGGGCCGTTATTCAAGGCGTCGCCATGCTGCTGCAGAACCGAACCTATATCACCCCCCCTGTGTTGCATGGCTTTCCTTCCCGTCCCTTCCCCCCACCCCCCTCTCTCCCCACCACCCTCCCCCCGAGAAGCAAGGCAACATGCTCTTCCGCATGTGGGCGGTCATTCAATGCGTCGCCATGCTGCTGCAGAAGAGATGTCTTCTATGCCCCCCCCTATGCTTCATAGCTCCCTGCTCCCCCCCTTCCCCACCCGAGCAGCAAGGCATCATGCTCTTCCTCATGTGGGCGGTCATTCAAGGGGTTGCCATGCTGCTGCAGAACCGCTACCAACGTCGTCGTCTCTACACCAGAATAGCGCTCGGCAAGGTGGGTGGGGGAGGTGCAGAGGAAGGTGAGTGGGGCACCAGTGGAGAAGGTGGAAATAGTGCTGGGTGAAACGGGAGTTTAGGGTTTGAAATGCACTGGGGAAGATGGGTGGGTAGCACTAGAGCACTGGTAGTGCTTGAAATGCACGGTTTCCTTGATGCAGTGCAGTGCGCTCACCATTGAGTTAATCTTTGCTGCTTCTTTACTTACTCTCCCTGTATGTATGCACGCTGATCATGTCATTCGTGTATGGCTGCATGGCTGCATGGCTGCGGTATGGCTACATGGTGCATGGGTGCATGGGTGCATGGTGCATGGGTGCATGGATGCATGGTGCATGGGTGCATGCTGCATGGCTACATGGTGCATGGGTGCATGGGTGCATGGTGCATGGGTGCATGCTGCATGGCTGCATGGTGTATGGTGCATGATGCATGGGTGCATGGTGCATGGTGCATGGCTGCATGGTGCAACAGGCAGGGCAAATGGACGTGGTGTGGGGGGAGACAGCAGGCATGAAGGGGCAACTTGTGCTGCTCTACCCACTCCTCTTCATTCTCCAGGTGAGCCACTATGCATCTGTGTTTCCTGTAGACTCCAGTTAAGCCCCCCTCTCTCTCCCTCGCGCGCTCTTCTCTGTATCACCTTGTGCTGCTCTACCCTCTACCCACTGCTCTTTATTCTCCAGGTGAGCTGCTGTGCATTTGTTTTCCGTGCCACTCTACCCGCTCCCTTTCACACTTCAGAAATGAGCTCCTTTTTTCCTGGCTCTTTATTTTCCTTTCAAGTTCTGCCTCTGTGCGCATCTCTCAACCGCACCTTACCGCTTTGCAATCCCTCCCACGTGCTTCTCTCCCTCCTGCTCTCTCGTTTGTCCTCTGCAGTTCTTCCAGCTCTATATCGGCGTGCGCCTGCTCCGCACATCACTCTACGAGATGTTTGAGTGGCAGGTATGGCCGCTGGATAGCCCTTTAGGAAAGGGGGGATGGGATGGGGAGGGATTTGGGATGGGATGGGTAATGCCGGGGTTGGGGAGGGGGGGTGAAGGGGAAGGTTTGGGAGGGCAAAGTATGTGGTCGCTCGAGCAAGGGTAAAAAAGACGGCCGTATTTTTCAGACTCGGAAACATTCAGATTCGAAGACGCTGGTGTTTCTACTTTCTACCCTGGTGTGTCTAACTTCTTTCAGACTTTGTGCCTCCTAACATTTATGTCACTGAAGATGTTCAAACCGCTTGCGTTTTTTCCTGCCTCTCTCTCACCACTCTCCTCTGCTTGACAGCTTTTTGCCTGTGGCATTCTCCTTATAGTCATGGCAGTTGGTAATTTCACCAACACTGTAGCTACAGTGGCCACAAAGCTTACCATCAAGGCCAAGATGCGGAAGAAGGGCGGCGGAGCCAAGTCCCAAGATTCCAGCAAAGTGACCGCAGCCCCTCACAAAGACGAGTAGTCTCTTGAAATTGGTAATATATGTCAAGGTGAAATAGGATGTAGGAACATGTATGAGATCTTATTGCGCCTTGGATAGGTTCGAGCTTCGATAAAGTCTTCCTAAAGCAAATGTCCTGAGTCTTGCCCTGCGGTTCGGAAACAGTGGACCCCAGGTTGCCATGTTTGATTCGTGTGTAGACAGTTTGTCTACCATACCTGCCAGGGTGTACCCCAAACACCAAAGCTGGACACTTTTGGAGTCGCGAATCTGTCGTTTACGAAATCGTGTCGCGAGTGCGGAACTTCCAAACCAGTATGGCAGCACGCCATTGGCTGGTTCGCATTCTTCGACTCGGCCAAACCGCCGCCAACAACACGGTCAGGTGTTTTCTCTGATAGGATCTGTTGACCCATGTGCCCAACTTCTGCCTGCCCCAGGCAAAGTGAAAACCGCCAAATCGAACATCGCAGGGGTATGTTGCACACTGCTCGTAGTTACTGCAGCAGCATCCCCTCCCCTCTTCTGTCACCAACTGCGCAAGCGAAGCTCCTCCATGGTTGCGCCGTGCGTGTGATCCTCTCCTCATCCTCGCTAGTAGCATGTTATCGGTGCAAATTCCCGATTCCCGAACCACACTGATACTGGATAGGACGGAACGGGACGGGACAGGGCGGGACGGGATGGGAAACTCCTTCCTCCGTCCGTACCTTTCTCCTTGCTCGCAGTGCCTTGTTTCGATGCAATGCAACGTGAAAGCTTTTCGGCAACGCCTGATTCCCTTTCCGTCCGACAGTCAGCCTCCATTCCAGTTGAACTTTCTCTTGAGCGCATGCAATGTGACCATTGCGGGGTGTAGTGCTATTCCCTCGCTAACAATAGGACGATCATCCACTTTCCTTGTGTAGTAAGAAACCCTCGCCAGCTCGGCTCAATCTTATTGGTCCGCGTTTGCGCACAGTCGAGTCGCACTTATTTCATGCACTCTTTCTTATCATTCCGATCAAGCCAACGTCCGTTTTTGTATCCCAGCTCGCATCGGCGTTTTGAAGGAATATATTAGAGAGCGTAGCGATAGCGAGAGAGTCTCTGCTATGGGAATGATGTTGCGCCAGCAACTTGGTAGAGTTTTGGTAGCGTTTGCCTCTAAGGACTTTGTGAGAATTGAAGTAGCATTTGGGCCAAGTAGAATTGCAATATCAATTATCAAACACACAAGCAAACACAAACATATATAGGCAAGCAAGAGTTGCACAATTGTTGCGTGGCGCTGCGAGTAACCCAACCCACACGAAAGTGCTGTGCAGGTGGGTGAACGCGCCCCGCACATTTCCAACCCAACTCGGCACCGGAATGTCTCACCGTGCACGCTACTCCTGCCAACACAGCAAGTGAGCAGCGTGCCTCACAAGCAAGGCACCTACGACCCCCAAGACTCGTCATTCCTAGCACCGATTCCGCCGAGTTCGCTGCAGTAGCTCACAGTCACCCGTAGTCACTAATGACCGCCACCGAACTCGTGCGTCGGTGCCGAGTAGACTCAGTCGTTAGGCGCCGACCTGCCAAGTCAAAGGTCATCGAGGGCCCTTGCTGTCGTAGGGCCCTCTAACACTCCCCTGCCATACTACAGCAAGGCCCTTTATAATCACAGGGCATGCATACACACATACACACCAAAACAAAGGGATACACACAAACGAAACACGCTCAAAGTGTAAACACGCACCGCACCAGCCATGGATAGGCCATGGCACCATCCACATCATGGAGTGTCTAGGTCTCACTCCCCTCGCTCGAGAGCCGCACCTGCCCCACAGCCTCGAAGCAACGACTGAAGGCGGGGAAATGCAATGCCTTTGTGAGGTAGTCAGCAGGCTGCTCGCTCGTAGGGATGTACTGCAGCTGCAGCTTCCTGCGCTTGACCATGTGCTGCAGCCACATGTGACGACGCTCCATGTGCTTGAGGCTCCCCTTGAGCCCCATGCCACCTGCCACTGAAATGGCGGAGGAGTTGTCCACAAAGAGAGTCGTGGGCTCCTCACTCCTCAGCAGTTGAAACTCTGCCAGCAGGAAGCGCAGCCTGCGCGCCTCCTTCCCAGCCTCCACAGCAGCAACGTACTCAGACTCAGTGGAGGAAAGGGTGGCGCAACGAATCCGCTGGCTCGCCCATGAGACAGTAGCACCCCCGAGCACAAAGACATAGCCACCTGTGCTGGTCCTGTTCTGCTTGTCCCCTGCATCATCAGCATCGGCGTAGCCCACCAGCTCCAAGGACTCCGGCCCACCACCAAACTCCAGCGCCACATCCCTGCTCCCCACCAAGTACGTCAAGCACCGGTCCAACTCCTTCCAGTGCTGATCACTCCGCACAGTCTGGCCCGACCCCAGCTTGCTGCAGGCGAACGAGATGTCGGGACGGGTGGTACAGGCCGCGAACTGCAAGGATCCCACCTTCTGCCTGTACTCCTCCTCCTGGCGAGACTGCCATCCCACATCCTCGAAGGTCTGCACACTGAAAGGGTCAGAGGAAAGAGGGGTGCGAGGCACTCGCAGCGGCTGCTCCCCGTCAAAGAAGCGCCTATGGACCTTGTCCACATAGGCCCCCTGGTGCAGCCACAGCCTCCTCGTGGGCCTGTCCCGAATCAGCTGCAACCCCAGATATTTCTCCACAGGGCTAATCTCCCGCAGCTGAAAGGCACTCCGCAGCAGGTCACGCAGCTCCGCTAACATGCTCTGACTGCGGCTGGCAGCAAGCAGGTCATCCACATACACCAGCAGCCAGCACATCTCCCCCTCAGCATCAGTCTTGAAGTACAGAGCCTCATCCACCTTGCTCTTCTTCCATCCAGCCCCAAGCAGCACCCCATCCAAGGCCTCATACCATAGCATCGGGCTCTGCTTGAGCCCATACAGACTCTTCACCAACTTACAGACACGAGGAGTCCCATCCTCGTAGTAGCTCGGCTGCTCCATGTAAAGGTCTCGGTCCAGCACGCCATGGAGGAACGCGTTCTTCACATCGAGCTGCATCAGGTCCAAATCAAGTGCAGCTGCAATCGCCAGAAGCACACGCGCCGTCACATAGCTTCCCACAGGGGCGTACGTCTCCTCATAGTCCACCCCTGCCACCTGCGTGAACCCCTTCACCACCAGCCTCGCCTTCTCACGCTCCACTATCCCATCAGGTCGGAACTTGGTGTTCAAAATCCAGCGGTTCTTCATCACATTCACCCCTGGCGGACGCGGAACCAACTCCCACGTCCCCTGCTCAATCAAGCTCCGCATCTCCTCATCCATCGCCTCCTTCACCTTGTCTCCCTTCCAGCAGCCCAAGGCCTCCTTCACTGTCATTTTCGCTATGTCCCACTGCCTCTCAGGATCAGCTGCCACGTCCGGGTCCAGGTTAGTCCACTCCTCGTCCTCCTCCTCGTCATCCAAGCCCGCTGGCTCAACCACTACAGCCCAAGCGTATCGAACAGGCGGGACACCACGAGTGATGCGAGTGGAGCGACGCAGTGGTGCAGTGGTCGTCCCAGAAACCAACACACGACCACCATCTCTAATTCCCCACATCTCCTGCTCCCCTGTCTGCTGCTCCCCAATCTGCTGCTCCCCTGTCTGCTGCTCCCCTGTCTCCTGCCCCCCACTCTGCTGTACTCCATCCATACTGCTCTCGTCCTGCAGCTGCTCAGTCTCAAGGCGCTGCCCGTCGGTGATCTCCACAGACGGTGGCACCTCCATCCCCCCCTCACCAACGGGCGGCGCCGTGGAAGACGAAGAAGAGGGCGGAGCAGGTGCAGGAGGGATGGAGGGTGGAAGGGGAGATGGAATAACAGGAGGAGGAGGGGAAGCCAAGGGGGGTGAGGAGGAAAATGGCGGGGCAGGGGGAATCACACGAGGGTAGACTGAAGGCGCAGGTGGGGTGGGGACCGAGGTAGGGACATAGGGCATAGCAGGAGGTGCGACCACCTCCTCCTCCTCCTCCGCCTCCTCGAGAGTGATCGGGAAGAGTGAGGGAAGGGGCTCATAGGGCATCGAACGCCCCCCATGCTCCTGCTGATGCCAAGCCTTCCATCCTGCTAGGGACATGGTCTCATAGAACACAGCTTCCACAGTGGTGATGAGGCGGTTGGACTCCAAGTCCAGCACGGCCCAGCCCTTGCTCGCAGCTGACACACCCAAGTGCAACCCCCAGCGAGCCTTAGGCGCCAGCTTCCCCCCACGCTGCGACTGTGGTACCATGTACTGCAGCATGCAGCCCCAAACACGCACCATACTGACATCAGGTTTGCGTCGGAAGGCGAGCTCGTACGGCGTCACACCAGAGGGTAGTGAGGCGTGCTCCATGCGGTTGCGCACCCAGACGGCCTGAGCCAACGCCACCAGTGATGCTGCACATCATGTGCAGCAACATCGTCCGCACCGCCTCCACAATGCTGCGCATCTCCCTCTCAGCCATCCCGTTCTGCTCCGGCGTGTACGGGCATTTGAGGTCATGGATGATGCCTTTACCGCCGAGGAAGAGCGTGAAGTCGTGCCCCAGGAACTCGCCACCCCGATCAGTGCGCAGCGCCTGCACCGTGGTCTTGCACTGTCGCTCTGCCATCGGGAGCCACTTCTGGAACGCCGCCAGCGCATCACTCTTCTGGGCCAAAGGGTAGGCCCAGACATATCGCGTCTTGCGATCCTTCAGCACCAAGAAGTAGCGGCTGCCGTCCTTAGCTGCTTCACGGAAAGGGCCACACAGGTCAGCATGCACCACCCCGAGCAACTCATCCTCCTCCTCTCCCATAGAAGGAAAGGTATGACGAGTGATCTTTCCCCCAACACAGGAGACACAAGGTATGCCTGACTTGCCCCCCTTCTCCAAATCCAAGCCCTTCACTGACCCGTGAGCCGCTGTGCGCTCGATGGCATCAATACCAACGTGTGCCATACGCGCATGCCACAGGTCCCCCTTAGACCGTACGCCTGTCGCCAAGGTACGAAGTGCCACCGTTTCGCCTTCCTGCTGCTGCGTC